TGGATTGCACTCTAACCTGAGAATAAGAGAGTGATGTCTGAAGGATATTATCTTGAGTTTTTGAGGTATTTGTGACATGCAGTGCTACAGGTGGCAGAGGTTCAAATTCTTTGGTCTGTCAGACAGCATTTTATTGTGTTTTATGTCTCTGAATCATATAAGTTTGAATCCTGTGAGTCTATGATCAGTTTGAAAACTTATCAACAGACCTGTGCTCTTTGGCACTTGTGGACATGTTTGTGATTGGTTTTTGCTTAGAGTGTGAAGCTTTGAGTCATGTATTATGTGCATTAGAGATTTTGAGGTGATCTGAGCTGTGCTTAAGATCTTTTGAGAGTTTTATGAGAGTGTTTCAACATATTATATTGAGCTGCAGTATCCTTTGCCTTGAGGCCCAGCAACATCTGTTGCTATCTCTTATTTTGATAAAATGAAAAGCTTTAAGACTTAGAGAGATTTAGAACTATAGTTGACTATCTCACAATGCATGATGTCAAAATGCATAATTCTGACTTTGCATATGGATTGGGCTGGAACACAGTTGGAGAGCAGGGAAATGGGCTAGAAATACATATCGCATAATGCATATAGTTCTAGTTAGAAATATGCATTGTCAGATTGAAAATTATAGTAAGCTGATATAACATTATGCATATATTAGAACAATAAAGAACATAATTTGTTTGTATGGACTATAACAAACACAAAAAAAATTATTGTAAAGTGATGCAGCCTATATCTCTATAAACATGCCTCCTGAACCAATATGAAAATCATGTGCTAAATCTGGAAATCCATATAAGCATACAAAACAGAAGGAGAAAGTCCTAATGTATACATCATCAGCTCAGCCTTCAAAGCAGATCTTCTGCCCACACCTCACAACAGAAGACTGGCTCATAGTATTCAAACACATTGATAACCATCTTTCCCATCGACATGCTGACATTGTGGCATATTTCACAAACCAAAAGGAAAGTGCACTGCTTTTTACTCAATCAACTCTTTCATGGAAACTGGCATCTCATACAAAAATCAAACAGCATGCAAACAAGAACCCTAATGCACTATCATCCAAAAAGTCTTGTATTGTCACCCGACCTGATGTAGAGTATGCTGTTGCATCTTGGTATCAGAACATGCAGCTCTGAGATGAGACTGTGACTGGTGCAATGCTGATAGAGAAGCAAAATTGGATTGAAAATCTGATGAATATTCCAGAGAATCAGTGTTTGAAAGGAGAGAGATGATTGAGGTCATTCTGCAAGGCATGGAAGATTTAGGAGATTTAGCAGCATGAAGAAGCAGGCTCAGTAGATATAATGGCAGTGAAAAAAGAATGTGTGCATCTTCATAGCATTATGGCAAAATATGCAATGCAGGACAGATAGAATATTGATGAATCTGGTCTTGTCATCTTTGCCATCCCAGATCATACCTTGGCATCTGGTCCTATGAGTGGATAAAAACAGGATAAGTTCTGCATCACCATGTGTTTTGCTGTGAATACAGATAGGAGTGAGCAAATGCCAGTTGTTTTCATTGGCAAGTCAAAGCAACCACAGTGTTTCAAGAAAAAGAGTCTAATGGCAATGGGATTCTATTATTGAAATAACAAGAAGGCCTGGATGATGAGTGAAATATTTATGGAGTGGGTGAAGATGTTTGATTTAAAGATGAAAAGAGAGATGCAGCAGGTTCTGCTGACCTTAGACAACTTTCAAGGGCATTTTATTGCTTATACACCCCATAATACAAAGCTGGAGTTCTTTGAGCTCAATATGACTCTATATATTCAGCCACTAGATGCTGGTATTATCCACTGCTTCAAGACACATTATCAGAATATCATATGTATCTGTGCACTTGATCTCGATGATCTTAGAGAGTCTGAGATCTTCAAGCTTGATCTCCTTGAAGCTATGACTATTGCTCGTGATGCTTGGGCAAATATCAGCAGTAAAACGATAGCAAACTGCTGGAAACACACCAGTATAATGCCTGACAATGTACCTGAGTCACAGTCTACCACACCATCCAATGATTTCCAAGATGCCTTACTCCTCAAGTCTGTATGGAATCTTGTTTGTGACTTTGTCTCAACAGACAAATACATGCTTCCAGGGATCAAACAGGCATTGCAGGATCTGCTTGGAAACCAATATGCTGATGCTGACTGGCGTCCTGCTCTTATGGCTGTTATGAATGCAGAGAACGATGTTGGTAAAGCACTAGAGACAGTCAATCAGTTGGCTTCTTTGTCACAGTCAAAAATGAACACATCTCCTATCCAAATTGCCCCCATTCAACAGCTCCAGACAGCAGAGATAATATTGAAGGATCATCTTGTCAAATTAAAACAACAAAATCACATGTTTGGTCTCATTCCAACCATTGAAGAGATGGTTAACTCTATTGCAGAAGAGTATACTGAAGATCTTGAGGTAATGCCAACAGATGAGGAGATTGTTGCTGCTGTCAAGCATGATATTGCAGTAGAAAATGGGGAAATAACTGTTATTGATGATGATGAGGAGGAAGAAGAGGAAGAGGAGGGTGAGGAAGAACAGATCTTGATAACTACAAGGGAAGGATTTGAGCTTATTCAAAAGCTGAAGGCATTTTGTGTTTCACAAGATGACCAGAGTGGATTAGTATCACAGCTGAGGAAGTTGAGAGGGGCATTATTCAAGGAGATGCATGGAAAGCTGACCCAAAAGCCACTGACAGCATTTTGGGGAAATGATGACATTGTCACATAAAGTCACACATCACATCATATTCTATTTTGGTTCTGCATAAATCTATAAATGCATATGGTTTTGGTGTCTCCCAACCATATGCATTGTGAGATAGTCAACTGTATTGTACATGTGCCATTGCTGTTCACATGCTGTGGATTCATTGAAGAAGACAATTATATTTGTTGATTACTGCTTTTATTGCATTATAATCCCTCTACAAACTAAGAGTTTTGTATGTGTGTTGGTGTGAGTGTGGTCAGTGGATAGCACTCTGCTGTATCCATTTTCACCTTGTGTGCACTCAGATTCTCTTCACAGTGATGAGAAAAATGTCTTCAGATATAATAGAAGCCATAATTTGATGTGAAGTTATGGTGGTAGCACACCTACTTACAGCTGAGTGACTGTATGTCATCACCCAGACCTATTCCATACATGGTAGTCTTGGATGATAAGCATTCAAACAAGAATATTAGCCAATGGGTAAGGCAGAAGAGATGTCATATTGTTTCTGGCAGTTTCTGTCAGTCAGACAAGAGCTAAAAGTGTGAGAAGTTATTCCTTTTTTGTTTCATTCATTCAAAGAAACAATGAAGTGGTAGTAGCAGAGCTCTGTAGACTGCACAGATTGACTTATTCATACATCATATTTGAGACATCCTCAAACTGTATACATTAACCTTTACAAGTTGTGTCAAGCACAATATGCAAGAAAGTGAGAACTTACCAAGACATGACATGTAAAGATCTCATGTTTGTCACCAGTTCACACCTTTCATGTATCTTGAGTCAAGTATGATGTCCTATTGGTTTCCATTCAATGTCTTGGTTAGTGAGATTGAAAGGCAATATAGATGGTCGATGTGGGATCAGATATGGTTGTACTATAGTAGTGGTTTCAGGTGTTTGTGTGTATTGGTGCATTTTCAATGAGTAACAGTTTACTGATTTTGGCCCAAAGGCTTCAAGATTGTACTCATTACTGCCTAGTAATTCCAGGATTACACTGGGGATCTTGGCTATGCAATGGGTTCTTGCAGATCCCATGTGGTTAGCTTGTACACACTTTATGGCAGAGCCCAATATCAATTTTAAAACTAGTATGATGAAGGGGAATTTCAGAAAAGTAGAATGAGCAGCACAACTTCATCAAAGATAAATATTGAGACAATGCTGTAAGTCACTTGTGGGCAACATCAATCCAGGACACAAAAGCTATGGCATGCTGCAGAAGGAGCCAAAGAGCCTATGATTGGACTTTATCAGCAAAAATTGAGGAAGAAAGGTGTCTTAGACTAACCAAACATTACCCATGACAGTTGCACCTGCAGATATGGATACTTGTTATCCTCACTACAATAATGAGATATAGTTTTAGATGCTAACTGGCCTGGTGCATGCTTTTGTTTAAGGAACTGCACCTTTACTGGCACCCATCACAAAGTTCACTGATGATAGCTTGAAGTTGGGGTCCTGATTTGCAGCAGTTGAAATCAGGTAATCATCCTGACCCAGTGCTTCATCCACTGCAGCTTTCCCCTTCTTCTGGGCTCCAGGATACAGGACCATTGCCAATATGAAGGAATACAAAGTAGAAACTGTCTAGGATACTGTCAGTAATACTTGGGTATGTTATAGTATCTGTGCTGCCTACTACACACTGAATGTCAGCATTCATGAAATAGTAATACTCGTGAACATTCGCCTGCATAGAACAAAGCCATTGTTCCCCTTATGATCTCCTCGGCTTCCTTTGTTCATGCATCATCAGCCTTCATCTGGGAGACATATTTGTATACAACAGAGGGTTTAGCCGATCCATTTCTCTGAAAGGTCTCTGAGATCAGCTATCTCTGACTCTGAGAGAAAGACGAGACTCACGATTGATTGCTCAACAAAGTCCATCGTTACCATCAGCATCTCAGTGATCGCAGGTCAAGCATGCAAGCAAGGAGATCGACCCACTGTCGAATGTCGTTGTTGCTTCGATATCTATGCCAGCGTGACGAATCCGTGAGCAGATGAAGCAACTTCCTGATTTTAGTTTGGATGATAGAGTCGAAGCAGCTGACGCTGTGGGTAGGCAGAAGAAAGGCCATGATGGTGGAAGGCAAGGGGCGTCAGTCTGTCGGTCTGGAATGAACCTTCGTTCCCAAGCACTCACGAACTGTATCTTTCGTTCGTGTTATTCAAAACGGGTCTGACTTTCATGTATAGAAGGCGACAGTTATGCTTTTTTCATATATAAAGAACGTGTCCATATATGGGACCAGTAAGGAATATCCAAATCAGACCAGCGCACTGAAAGATTTCGTACTTCTCAGGTCGACTTGAAGTCGATGCTTAGAGACCATGGATGCCTGACTGAATCAAAGATACAGCGTGCATTGTCCTTGGCCTGATATCACACTCAAATGGAACAGGATGACTGCAGTGACGCGAGATAAACAATGCGTACATCATGGGAGAGAGTCCACGTACCACAGCATACCCGACGTAAACTCTCCCGATGGTTCGACGACGTGGCCATTATCATCGACTGCCTTGGTAACATCGAACACAGCTAGGATCGACGCGATATTCATCCAGATAGATGCCTCAGCCACCTCCTGCCCTGGACAGATCCGCCGCCCGAAACCAAAAGCCTCCTGGGGGTGGGGGATGTCTGGATTTATGTTTCCGTCCTTCAAGAACCGATCTGGATTGAAAACGTCAGGGTTTTCTCCATAAACTGAGATGTCATTCAACATAGCCCTAATAGGGAGACTGAACGCTAAGCGAGACGGGAGCAGAACAACCGATACGCACCATGCGTTACCGACGACTATAGAACCCTTGGGGATATGGTATCCTCGATGTTCATCGTCTCGAGAAACACTATGCGGAACGGCTAACCCACACATTAACAATCGGCCCAATCTTTGATGGATGGACCTACCAAGGGGCGTAACTGCTCTCCACCGAAGGACTTCTTTGAGGATGGCGTTGATATAGGGTATCGACTTGTAATCGGAAAATTCTGGGAGTCTATGACACTCAATGACATCGTCGATCGCCTCTTGCGCTTTCCTTTGAATGTCAGGATTCTGTGTCATGGCCAGCAAAAATGAGCTCAAAGCGGAAACCGTCTGAGAGGTGAAATTTCAGTAGGCGGGACACGCATTGGTGGCGAGCACTTACGGTGTCGGATCCAGCTGGGAAGGATAAGGGGAATGAGATACAATATCAAATGGACCTAGCAGCCTCTTACCAGCATACAAGGTTGCCAATACATTGCGCAAGATCTCTTCCTTCTCTGGCGAACGCACTGATTTTTCTTCCATATATTTGTATGCAATAGAATGGCTCAGAGTATCAGAGTCCTGTCTGTCGTTGAGTGGGAAGATGAGGGCAGAATGCGATCTCACCATTGAGTCATGTACGAATTTCATGGTTACATGCGGCATGGCCTTGACCGACAAGTTCCAATCCGCGGCTTTCCTCTTAAAATCGGCTCCTGGGAACCAGGACGGAAGGTACTGTAAGACGGGGAACGAATCTACAAGGAATGATCCTGCATTTCCCGCAGCGGCCAATCCTGCCATAGCGTTCTCTGCCGTTTGAATGTAATAGTCATCGTCATCTCGGATGTCCATACCGTAGGCCACACCCAGTATGACACGTACGGCCATGCTGATAATTAGAGCATTACACTGGAAAGTAGATTCAGACTCACAAGCGAAGGCTTTTGCGGAAATTGCCCGGGTCATCCAGAAATCTCTTCAGAAGAACCCTTACCCCATCAAGTAGACGAGGATAGTAACTGGCTACTGCGGAGCCGACGAGCTCCTTGTGGAATAGTTTACGGTGCTCTGAAAAAGCGGTACAATCAGTCTTGTTCTGAGTTTTTAGTAGTTAGTTAACCTTTCCAGTAAGCGCTGTATCGATGAAGGGCAAAATTCCAAGTGTAACCGATTCTATAGGATAAATGAGCTCGATTGGACGCATTTTACACTAGGAGTCGAGCCATACAATCCGTTCAGCATATGAAAAGGTGGCCTATGATCGTTGTCGGAGGTAATGTCGTCAACTAGATAATAAAACTCAATACCTGTCGGAATATATAGCAGATCGTTCTTTGAAAAGTTCGCGAGCCGCTTCCCGAGTGTTGATAACGATAAGATTGGTACCCATCAAATTGAGTTGAATAATATCAGAATCTGGAACGATGATTAACAAGGAGAAGCGGGACGGAGATACTGATTCACTGTATTTTCGTGCCATATCCCTGTAAGTGATCCATTCGTACTTTTCCGGAACATCAAAGGTATTCCCGAGGATTGGAAGGCCTCTAGGTCCTGGCGGCAGAGGAAGTCGGGGCCTCGAAAAGAGCCGGTACAGCACGTAGCTCAGCACAAAAAAGGTCGAGAGATATACAACTCGAAAGAAATCCATGGTCTTTGGCAGTGAAGAATCCTTATGTTGGGGTTTATAGCATGCACGCAGGCGCTGGGGCTGGATCACTCCAAGTTCAATGCGGGTAGTTTCGTTACCAAGATCGGCTCAAGCTGCATGCAAACATGCTTGCGATGCAGTGCTGCCTTTGCCATTAGATACGCATTAGATACGCAATTTCTATACTCCTTTCATTCGCATCCATCCTTTGATCCGCATAGGATATCGAGAAGCTCAGCTTAACGGACTTCAGCAGTCGATATGATGCCAATTTCCTTCTTCATAGCAGGTACAGGACAAAGGAGGAACCGAGGGCTTTAAAGCGACAGCTGGTATCCTTGAAAATAATTGGTGATAGACTGACTCGGACGTCTTGCTTCGGCATATGGCCTAGCAAAACACATTTGAGATGAACGGCGTTCCATCAACATTCAATTGTTGCTTTGGAGCTAGAAGCCTGCGATTTCCCGAAGCATGACCATTACGATGTCTAACTTTCTAATCCTGAAGGTGTCACTGAGAAAGGACGTGTGCCAGTAGAAGACTGCGTATGTACTAAAGGGAAAAGCTGTTGCATTGAGTCCAACAAGAGATTGAAAAGTACGCACAATTATGTATCATATAGCTACCATTATCTGAACTTAAAGGTGCTTTCTTTGTGGTACCAGATATTCACGTCTTCAACGTTTTAACTTTTAAATGTTGAAGTTCGGTGAGTGTGGTGCCAAAGTAGTGCCATTTGATGGTCACTCGGGAATGTCGGCCCGATGAGCCACTTGACCTGTCCACTGGCAGTCACCACCACTTTTTTTGCGTGTTCACGTTTCGTTCTCGTTTTGGTAGTCCATTTTGCTCTCTTTTCTCATCTTATCTGAGGCTTCACAGTCTGTGCTCTCGTCGTTGCTGTGCAGCAACCCACCAGCATCGTATGCTTGATGCAGACGGGATGCTCGGCCCGATATCCCGGAGAAACGTTGAAGTTGACCCACCATCTACTCTCCGACATCCGCTGCCTGCCCTAAGTCCCCTGACGTCCGGTATGAAAGATCTTGTGGAATTTGGTAAATATTTTATCCAGATTGGCTATTTCGAAGAGCGGCTAGTCCCGGGTCGTGTTACCGCGATCTTGCTTCTCATTTCTCTGATCAAATGACCCGCAGTAAACTCTCACCAACATTTCGATTTTTGCTAAACCGTCATGGATACTTTGTCTGCATCCTCGATTGGAATATATGACTCCATATTTCGAACAGTATTCACCAGTGAAGAAATGCGCCTAATCTTCAGTGCGATTTCGTACTCGTTTCAAGATTAAACGTTTTATATTAACCTACCTGTAGCTGACCAAGCATACTTTTCACGTTGTGTCCAAGTAGAGGTCGCCCTCGCAAGTGAGTACAATACTTTGGCATATCTACTTGGCTCATGGCTAATATTCTAGAGGCCCAATCCGTCCTCGGTGTCATCCCTCACAGTGCGGGTGAAATGATTGAACGCGACTGTATTGCTGAAAAGATCGACTGGAATCGTCTCCGAAAAGACACTGAGATAGTCGGATATCCCATCCTAGGACTTGTCAGGCAGCTAGATAATATGTGCCTCGAGAGTGGAAGGTACCTGTAAGATGGAGTTTCCCTGCTGTAATTTTAACATACTCATCGCCATGATTTAGACACTGGGGTGCTACCACACAAGATGTAAGCGATATTTAATAAGTTTCTGCCCATTCATTTACATCATTGGCAGATCATGGACACAGCCAGCGTCCTCCAAATCAAAGCAGGCCTTGAATTAATCTTTGGGCAACTCAACAGAGTCCGAGATATCCTCGTGCGCCTCTCTTCCCGATATCGTGACACACCTATGGCAGGTCGAACCCATCTTCAACACGCCCTCCCGATCACCTTTGGGTACAAATGCGCCGTATGGCTCTCCGCTCTCGATCGGCATGCTGAGCGTCTCGGGCAGCTCCGTCCGCGTGCGCTGTTCGTCCAATTCGGTGGAGCTGTAGGTACTCTAGCGTCCCTCGGCACTAGCGACATTGGCTTGAAAATTCGCGCTAAACTGGCTGAAGATCTGGGCCTTCACGATCCTCCAATTTCATGGCACGTAGCTCGCGATGGCATCGCAGAGACGATCTCCTTCCTGTCGGTAAGCTCGTCACGCGCCTCCTTGTTGTTCATTCCTCATTATACTTCAGATCGTTGGAGGAACTCTTGGAAAAATCGCGTATGATATCCTCCTCCTCAGTTCTTCTGAATTTGGAGAAGTTCAAGAACCATTTGTTCCTCATCGCGGGGCGTCATCCACGATGCCCCAGAAGCGAAATAGTATATCATCAGAGACGATCCTCGCATGTTCGAAGCTTCTCCGTTCGCACGCCGCAACAGCACAAGATGCGATGGTTTCCGACCTCGAACGTGCATCGGGCCCTTGGCATCTCGAATGGAGCTGTGTCCCGGAGGCTTTTTGCCTTGCGAGCGGGGCCCTTCATCAGACAGAATTCGTGTTAGGCGGACTACACGTTGATACAGAGTGAGTTAGATTATATAGGTTGCCCCTGATGTTTAACCCTCCCAACAGGCGCATGGCCGAAAACCTCGACATGTCGAAAGGTCTCATTGTAGGCGAAGCGGTAATGATGGGGCTGGCACCATATTTTGGTCGCAATACTGCCCATGACATCGTATATGAAGCTTGCACGGCGTGCATTGAATCTCGCGTACATCTCTCATCTTGTCATCTTTTCTCTTACTCATAATTTCTTGAAGAAACGACTGTCCGAACAGTTAAAATCTATGTCTCATGTACGAAACAAACTTTCCGACGAGAATATCGACGAACTTTGCGATCCGAAAAATTATCTGGGTGCATGCACTAGGATGGTTGACGACGTATTGAAAGACAGGAAATAAGGAGTAAGATTGAGATACCATTTCGCTAATCTACAAGCCACTAAGTTAATCCTACAGGCCCTACTAAATACAAGTACAAATTGATATTGTTATCCTGCAATCTGACTTACCTGGACTGAACGGACTTCAAGATTCAAGCCGCCCCTTTGACACGGCACAAGCTTTTCACGTATGTATTGACAGTGATCCAACTGGTCAGGTCCCAAAACCCAAACCAACTTAACGTTCTGGATACGCACAGGCTCTTGGTTAGCGTCCTGCATACATCGAGACGCAACCACCTCGACGAACCGCTGCGGCACAAAATTACACTTTCCACAAAGACGCAGCGTGTGTAAACTGGGGAACGGGGACAGTGTGGGCCTGATGTACCGTAGGCTAGAGAGGAACCTGTCCGAGAGGCTGTCCGAGCCGACATTGGATAGATGCAATTCCTGGAGAGCTTGATACACGAGCTCCAGGTGGGAAAGTGTTTCCATATCGGCCTCTGAGACCCGTACGTCCGTTAGGTCTAAGCATGTGATAGAACAATGAGAACGGTGGAAGAGTCGGAAAAGGGAGGGAACAGCATTTGGTGCGGGGTTCTCAAGCTGTTCGAAGGCCTGCATTGTCACACGCGCTAGGGCTGGCGTGGTCAGATGATCGAGTAGCAAGGGCACTGTTTCGAACCCCTTGCTTTCCGACGTCAGCATGCGTAGCGTATGGAGCTCGGGGAGTGTAATCATATCGAGGAGCCCCGGTACTTGAAGTTGGTGTGGAAAGAGCTCGGTGCAGCTCATTTCACACTCTTCGATGTCGCTGAAACGACTGATTTGCCATAAGGCATCGAGGGAAAGTGAGTCTGAAGGCCCCCAGAATCCCTGGGAATAGCAATACAGATGCTTGTAGCGGCGGATCTGTGGCCAGGATATGACAAATGCATCGGGAGACGACACTTGCCAGAGCTCCAATGACCGCAGCGGTGCAAACGAAAAGGCTTTGAAAACGCCAGATGCAACCGCATCGAGGTCAGGTATTACGGATATGATAGATAGATGTTGGAGGGACAGCAGAAAAAATTGAAGGGGGTTAAGATCTTGGAGGAGGACGATCCCAGATGCCAATTGAAGAGTTACGATCCTACCGGCAAAGTGAATAAGTGCTGCGATAAGTAAGTCCGGATAGCCTCGGCGTGAAGATTGGTGAATTGACACAGATAATGGTCTTGGCTTCGATCTCTCGACCTGACGCATAAGCCCACGAAAGGCAGAATTATCGGCGGTTATCTCGAAGCTATCGGTGTCCCTAAGACAAATGTAAGACCACGCGTGGGAACACGACAGCAAGGCGAATCGCCAGCTCTTCGATACCAACTCCAAGTCCCACAGCGATGGTTTCTTATGTTGGATCCTCCAACAATGGCTTCGTCTGTCCCATACTTTTGGAGGGGGGAATTCGACCACAAGAAGAAAGATTTCGTGAAGAATTTCGACGGGTAAACGTCGGACCGGGTTGAAGAGACGTTTTGCTGCTCGAATGGAATATTCAGTTTCTTGATACTTCTCAACCAGAGTTGCTACAGTCCCGGCAGTGTTGGAAAACGATAGTCGCGCACCGGGATTGTCGTTTGCTCCTGTAATGGATTCGATCTTCTGCCGGAGCATCAGCAAGTGACTCTCTGCTTCTGAAATTATCCCATTCAGAGCCACTTCTTCAGTCGGCGAAGGCGGGTCATTGCATTTGATAAGATGTATGAGGTCGGAGTGAGAGAAAATGGAAGGAGTTGGTCCAACATCAAAATTCGGAGAGATGGTGTACTTGGAACTATCGCAGCTGGTTTCGACTTGGGCCGACAACATTTGTCAGAATCCCTCCAAGAAATGTCAGAGCAAAAAGCTAGATACCTTCCATCAGTAGACTTTCCTTCCTTGCGAACCGATGCTCGAGCTGGGGGTAATGAGATAATGATGGGTCTTAAACAAGTTTGTTTTAGATTTTGGCTCTACCCTTGCACCGATCGGGTCATTTTCTGGACAAATCTCAAAAAGCAAGATTTCACACATGCACAGAGTTACCGTTAGTATGTCAGAGTGGGCCTCTAACTAAACGATCTATTTCTTTCCATTGAACCCCTAGAACCCGTGCAGATTTATCAACAAAGGTGATGGTCTTTCACTCCGGAGCCAAGCTGTCGTGGTACCCCCAGAGTCGATAGAGGCTATTAGAAGGTGGAGGTGGTGCAAGCATTGAAATGCTGGGAGGTCCGGCCCGTCAAAATATTTATACAGCGCTTGAACAATGAAGAGACGAAGTGTCAAAAAAACTCAGTCGAGCTGCCAGCCCAGGAGCCACCGCGTCGACCCAAACCATCATCATCCGTTCTAGGACGCGTTCGCTCAACGTTGAGCTCCTCTAGTACTTATTCTTTCATCGCGCCAATGTCCGCATTTCGATCGGTATACTGGGTGGTGACTGATGAATACCCCAAGAGACCTAGCAAGGGCTGCTTATATTTTGCTGAGATATACAAAACTCATCTTTTTTCGTTCAGGATTCCAGCTGCTACTTCTCCGCCTTCGGCACAAGGTCGCAAACTTACTTATGACGAATTGTTGGGGAGGTGAGAGGTAACGACACAGGATTTGGCAGCATCGCAAATTAATACGGAAAGCTATGATGTGTTTGCTCCACCCACTGGTGTCGTGAAGTAACTGAACCGCCATTGCCTTGACAGGTCGTCTTGTCTAACTTTCTCATAGTAACGCCAACTGGCCAGCCATTTCTAGCTTATAATTGTTATAATTGCTTATGAAGGGAGCGATTTCACTCACCGCTTAGTCGACTCAAATTGTCAGACTGCCTTAAGGATAAACGCGTGTAAGTCTATCCCCAGAAGCTCTATCTTAGTCAATCATTGTTTTCGATAGGTATCGGCTCCTCTTAACCCGGCCTTCATCTTTAGACCGTCAATAACATTGTCCTATATTGGAAGACTCTGGACATCTACACCGAACCAATTTTTGGTCAGGCTTCCCTGCGCTCAAAATATGATCCTTTGCTTGGGTGATTCCGCTGGAATCTTTACAGCCATTTGCATAAACGTGATCGTATACAATACGGACTTGATTCCAGAAGTATAGATGTGGGAAGTACCACCTGATGCTGGCAATCATTGTCTGACTAAAACTTTGATCGCAGCCAGGCCCTAAATACGTTCGTTTCCCATAAAGAGCTCCTCCAGTTCTTGGAGTTTGCGCGCTCGTCATGTCTTCCATACTCTTGCAGAACGGTACCCTCATTGTCTTTGATAACCGTGACCAACCTCAACCAGTTCGGGCGGATGTTTTGGTCAAAGGAAATGTCATTTTTCAAGTCGGACAAGATCTCAAGCCTCTCGATACATCTACAACGGTCATTGACTGTACGGACAAGATCGTTACACCTGGTCTTATTGACACTCACCACCATATGTGGCAAACTCAGCTGAAGGGTCGGTTCGCCGATGCCACCTTGTTCGACTACTTCTATAAAGGTGAGAACGGGAACAGATCTCAACGCACTTCAGTCCTATCTGACATGGCGTGAAAGGTTGGTGCCAGTGGGACTTTTACGCCGCTGAGGACATCTTTTGGGGAGAGCTTGCTTCGTGCATCGAAGCCTTAGATAGCGGTACGACTACTGTTGTAGATCATGCCCATTGCTCTCGCACACCGGACCATGGTTAGTTCCAATATACTCATATTATTGGAGACTAACCCTTCTTTTCAGCCACTCAAGCAATCTCTGCCACTGTGACCTCCGGTTTGCGATCATTCTTTTGTTACGCGTTTGTGCCAGAAATCAAATCGTGGTCTCCTCAATTCGTACTGGGCAACTCTCCAGCATGGGCAAATGAGTTTCTCAAGACTTTAGCGCAGAAAAGTCCTTTTGGTCCCGGAGGACGCGTTCGAATGGGTCTCGCATTCGACCAATTATATCTACCCAAAGACACCGTTCGAGAGATCATCGGCACGGCACGCCAACTAAACCTCTTTCCTCTCACTGCACATGCGGCCGGTGGAGCATTACAAGGTAGTTTCGACAGGACTATCCACCTTTTCCTGTTCGTACTGATGCACTTCAAGGCTTCCTCCAACCCATCCAGCAGGCGCATGATTACGGCCTCCTCGGTCCGGACTGGATTTTCAGTCACGGAGGATGGATCACTCACGCTGAGCTGGAACTGCTGAAACAGTCTGGAGCTACCATCTCCGTAACTCCAGAATCAGAGCTGCAGATGGGACATCCAATGCCACCCATCGAATCGTCAGATTATCCTAGCTTGCGGGACTGCTGTTCTATCGGCATTGATTGCTCATGTTCGAACTCGGGCGATATAGTAACTCAGATGCGTCTGATGCTACAGTCGGGTCGAGGTATCGTGGGTCGGCAAGTCAAGGATAAAGGAAAGGTGGTAAAAGAGTTGATCCTCAAAATCGGCGAGGTGTATGCCATGGCCACTATCCGTGCTGCAAGGTCTTTGAAGCTTAACGCAGGTCAATTGAAGGAAGGCGCGCTAGCTGATATCGTCGTATACGACACCCTTAGTCCGTCGATGATCGCAGGGGCTGCGGAGAATCCTGTTGCAGCCATCATGTTGCATTCGAGCGTTCGGGATGTCAACACAGTCATTGTGGATGGCATCATTCGGAAAAGGCATGGAAAGCTCCTGCCTATCGAGCTTGACGCCGACGCATCGGTGCAAGTGCAAGAAAAGGTCCTTGGTTGGAATGATGTTGCTCAGCAGGTGTTGAGGAGTCGACTCGATATAGAAGGCAGGATGAAGGATGTCGACTTTTCCGAACCTATTGTCGCGCAAGGGATCAAAGATGCCTTCCATCTATCAGACGACGTGTTTATGTAGAAATTGCGAGAATGTATACTAGTTCTGGGTGCAGTGGACATTGAGATCATTCAGTCTCAGTGGTCAGATCATCGAATATTTCAGCAAGTCAAAATCAAGGATTCTAGCAAAAGAAAGATATTTGAAAGTTGGAACGAGAGGTACAGCGATGATGGTAAATTGGACGGCTGAGTTGGACAGTTCCATTGGAAACGATTTCCGCCAAAACATCTACGCTGACCGCCAAGGAAAGGTCTCATACGGCGACTTCTAGTTTTTAGAGGAATCCTCGCTTCAGAAAAGTGTCAGCGTCGGCAACGGAAAGTCTAGGCCCACATAAGAACCAATAAGCAACGGCGTATTCGTGACCGGAGTTCGCGGAGGTGACGGCAAACAGCAACAACGTCCGTATCGTCGCTCCGCATCAAAGGTTGAGCTCTAGGCACTCGATTTCAACATTTGATGATTGTTATTTTCGAGGCGATGGAGATATCCTGAGTAAATAATGGAGTCGCCGAGGCGAAGCGCGTACTGCGCAATACTCTAAGCAATAGTGGCCGATAGCTTCACAGTAGATAGAGACCAGTTGTATCTCGAATCATCAAGTATAATTACGCTAGAATAGCTAGCCAAGTAGACATTTTATTGGCGCCTTCCCGTTCGGTTGGACGGTCCAATCAGGAGTGACCATCCATTAAGTACGTCGAGCGGTCGCATGACTTTGCATGACGATTATGTTTTCGCACGGATTAACGCTGAATGTAGTACTGACCCAGGGCGAGCAATGAGCGTCAGTGGCCAAAATAAGTATCCTAATCCTTCCTAGCACTGTCTCAGAATGTCTCCAACGAAAACATCCGAAGCAGTGAAGATGACGGTTTGCATCAGATTGGATGGTCACTTGGGGGACCAAATAAATGGAAGCGGGGAATTCCTTCATGATCTAGGCCCTCAGATGATAGGTCAGCAGACTTACCATGGACATTAAAAGCTTCACCATCACCTAATGCGCTACCCAACCACCCAACATGAAGGAACTGTCTCCCCACCCAACCTATGTATGCTCGCCGTCGCTCTTCCTCCAACTTGTTTACTCACCGCTCTGATCTGTAGCATCTGCCCTTTTCCTACACCAACAAGAGCGCTTTCAAGTACAAGCTGGTCCCTTTCGCCACGCTTGCTTTTGGGTTACCCTGGTTGGCAATCGGATGGAGATGGTGAGTACAGTAGCTGCATCACTGCCGGGATGATGCTGACTACGACATGATTGGTAGGTATCGCCCTGGTGGTATGAAGAACCCGTAGACTCTTATGATATGGCGAGATGCAGTTAGTACCTATGCTATCTTCAGATGGGATGTTGACTCACATTATAGTCAGAAAGAACGTCATTGTATAACACCCTAGGCACTCGGTATTGGGATCATTGCTCGATTACGCTGTACTATTTCTCGAAACGGAAAGGAATGAGTGTGACAGACACCGTGCGAGGTCAGGAAGGCAGTGTCGTCTGTTGTGTGTGATCGCCTTCAACTGGAATAGAAATTTCTGATCATTGTCAATGAACGACGAGTGAACAGTACGTTGCTGAATCAGCAGGTACAGCCAAGCTGAGCGCTGAATACAACAACAATCATGAAACAATATTCAACAGGTATACATACATAGTCCGCGTCTATTGTTACATCGAATGGATATACAATGAGCAGTTCCCTACGCGCCATCATTATCTATTCAAATGGCGATGAGCTTCCATCACTGCAAAGACCTGAGAAAGAGGACTTACCAGACTCCTTTGTCCACTCAGCGTGTTGCCGCGTATCAGCCTCGCTAACAGTAGGCGGCACGCTCTCTAAGGACTTCAAAAAGTCATTCAGTTTCAACGGGGGTTCTTTCAGTTCGTGTGATTCCAGCTCTGACCATGTCTTTTCTACAGCATTAGGATCACCAGGAAAACACGGTGTCCACTTTGTCTCAACGCGCTTGAAGTGCGTCGCTGCTATCACCTTGCGCACAGGCTGCATCAGCGCGTCACGGACGACGACGGAGATATCAGAACCGGAATAACCCTCGGTTCTATCGGCTAACATCCAATAGTCTTTGGCTGTGAGGTCGCAAGGGGTACAACCGACGTGAAGTTGGAATATCCGTCGTCGAGCCTCAACACCGGGAAGAGGGATATGTATTCGCTTTTCAAACCTGATAGAACGTGAGACGCGAGGATAACGATGAAAGAGGACACGCACCGACGCTTGATTGCACTGTCTAGCTGCCACGGAATATTTGTCGCACCAAGAACCAGTACCCCGGTGTTATCTTGCCCAACGCCGTTCATCTGCACCAGTAGTTCTGTCTTGATTCGCCTTGAACCTTCAGACTCGCCTTCATTTCGAGAGCGAGCCAGAGAATCGATCTCGTCGATGAAAATGATGGAAGGTTTTGACTCGCGCGCCAACTCGAACAGCTGTTTGACGAGCCTGCAGAATTATTAGAATGCGGGGATTGAGAAACGTAAGGACTCACCTCTCAGAATCTCCTTGCCATTTACTGGCTAGATCGCTGGAACTAATGCTGAAAAAGGTATACTTGGCTTCCGTGGCCACAGCCTGGGCGAGATATGACTTGCCAGTTCCCGGAGGACCATACAATAATATACCTTTCCATGGAGTGCGTTTACCGGTGAAAAGCTGGGGAAATTTCACGGGGAAAATTACGGCTTCCTTCAACGAATCTTTGGCGCCTTCTAGACCGGCGACATCATCCCAGTGGACGTTGGGTTTCTCGGAAAGAATAGCGCTAGAAAGCCCAGCCCGCAGTTTCTTGACTTCCATGTCTTGATCATCTTCGTCGTCCTTTTTCCTTCGGGACGTGCTAAATGAGTCAAAGAATGCCGTAGCTACACATGACTACACACCGTTTCCCTAGAGCGCTAGCGCCTCCAGAACCGACGACATTAGCAGACTTCCCGCCCCGCACTTCACTTTGCGATGTGAGATGCTTCTCCAATAACTCTGCCCGAGAAAGATATTCATCAACTTTGACTCGTACTAAGGCATTGGTTTTGTCATTCCTCACATCTGCGAGCCGCGGAGTGGAAGTTTTGCGAACAGGATTTACAAGGTAAACGTACATTTCAACGCCGACATGAAAAGTTCCAAGGCTAGCATGTAATACTTCAGCGCTTCATGGTAATTCTTATTCGAGTCTTCTTCAACAGCTTTTTGGACTATTTCAATCGCTCGCTGGTCGAAATTGAGTCCACCGTAGGGAAAATATTGCAGATACGTACATTGAGGCTGCTTGAATTGGCCATTGGGCTGTAGGCAAATGCAAGGAGGAATTCGCTGTCGTCGCAGCAATGATAAGCATCTCAACGCCACTCATTCAAACTTGAGTAAGAGAGTTATTTGGCTGTATCAATCCAGAATGGCCTGGGCATCACGTGTAACGTAAGGGCCGGCCTTCTCGTGTTCTAGAGCAGAACCTACAATTTATTTCTATGAGCGCTGACTTTCAGTTATTTGTGCCCACCCGAAGGTAACAATGTCACGTTGACTGGCCCATCCGGCTTCAAAATTCCTTCTAAACGTCTTCGATATCCTTGGTACTAGATATTTTCGACCCTTCTGGTACAGAAATACTTTCCCGGTATGGACTACGCAAGATCAAGTGTCCAAATTACCATCCTTGGTCAACAGAAGTCAGCTCTGAAAGGGTGCGAAGGAGCTTGACTGGATGGTTCCAAGTATCTGGCCCCACCTTTGAGGCATCTTCAAGCATCATCTTCATATATTGCCTTCCACAAGCGCACTTTACAACCCCATGAATAGGAATGGCAGGCTCTGCTACGTGAAGACCTCATTTGTCGATAAGTCAAAAGGTGTGCTGGGTGTATTTACGTTACAGACATGTAACGAATACAAGAACTGGCAGGTCGATCTGAGCGTTTCACCTTAGAAAAAGAGAAAAATATGATCGACACCAGCCGTAAATGTTCAAGCCTATCATCACCATAAATGTGTGAGATAGGGAAGAAAGAGGACTGAGCGAGAAACTACCTATCGAGCTCTATGTGTGAGATAGGGAAGAAAAAGGACGAGGAAATTGCAATGACATGGACTGGCTTTTATATTTCTGAGGGTGAGTGGCATTTGGTCCTTGTCATAAGCATTGAAGACAGGAACAAAGGCAATTTTGGTGCCACCGAAGGTAAGGTCATTGTCTCTTGCATAGACGACATTCAAAGGTATTTGAATGGTTCATATCTAGCGCCGAGAGAGCCTGACTGCTGCTAGTACATTCGTGAAAACCTGGCGCAGTGCCAGAAGGAAGGCTTGTTCCTTGATGGTCAGTTGGTAGAACATATGCATGCAGAGTAGATTGTAATATGATGTACATAAACGTACCACATTCGTATAGGAAAGTTGTGATTGTAACAAATATTTGACAGTAACTTGAACGTTAGTATACGATGTTGAAGCTGCGACCTTCCCCGTCTCTGAACCAATGATATGTGCATATAATAATGTTTGGACAGCGAAAAAAGAAGCATGATATATCATTGCATACTCAGTCGGCTCGATAGTCACTGGCCTTCAGAACGTTTCTCGCGTCTTGCATTGTAATGTAGTATGCTTTGTCCCCTCCGGTAGCGTCAATCTAAATTACTACATAAGAGTGCGGCCCGGGTGTTGGCAGTGACACACTTACAGAAGAGGCTCCGTTGCCCAAGAAGGAGAAGCGATTGTGATGTAACGGGACGAATTTCCAGTCCTCCCATCGGGGGGAAGCTAGCAATTCCATGTAATGAAGAGCTGGAATGATCAGATTCAGCGATGCCCATTCGGATCTATCATTAGAAACGTACTGCTACCAGCGTATAGCGCATCCGGTTCACCATCTACCTTGCCGCCTTTGTACCAGGAAGAACAGGGTTCGGTCTGTTACATAGATAGTTTCAAAACAAGTCGCTTGATTCTCGAGAACGTTCGTACAAATACGAGATCCTTCATAACCGCTACCGGTGTTTGTATCATTAATAACAGAGTTACTAGTCAAATATGAATGAAAAATGCACCTTCTCGTTGGATATTGTACTCGTCCTGTGCATCCTTGTTGACTTCCATGGTTTTTATATCTTGCTTCTGCAGTTTGGACCTCGAATCCATTGAGTACAACAAGGTCATTGTTAGATTCTCTGAACCTACAAGCAGGCGACGACGTAGTCCGCTTGCGCTTCTGTACAGGGCAACAGCGACCCATTGGCATACGTTATCCCGGGGCCAGAACCCATGAGGAACATGTTGGGGAATCCGGTGATGGCCACTGACATGTAGGCTGTATTGCACATATTAAATAAGTATCGTTCTAGAAGCAAGGGAAAACTCAAACCCTTCGGTCGCTCCGCCCATACATCCCTAAGATCGACACCGTCTTTTCCAAGGAACTCGTATCTTGGCTTGAAACCTGTGTCGAACCCCGTCGCTAAGATAATGCGGTCCACTGGATGCTCGATACTATCTTCAGTAATGATACCACTTGGAGTAACCATTTTGATTGGTTTATTAATGAAGTCGACCGTAGGAAGCTTCAGCCTGGGACGGAATTAACTGCACGCCTATTATCAAGAAGGGAACATACGCTTCCATGAAAGCAGCACCCGGGGTCGGCCTACGACACTACATATTGCAGACTTGACCTTCATACCAAACAACAGACGAATCTCATTGTACCCACCCCAATGGCAAAGCTGTTTCACATGCCTAGGTCAGTCGCCACCGAACATACACAGTCGACGTAACTCACTCGGGTAATAGCGCCTGGACAAGGTCGTCATTCCTTACCGATGATTTCATATGTTCAATTGTAACTTGTTTCATCGCCTGTACGCCAATGAAATCACGGAGAATAAAGCTGATTAGAAGTAATACCTTCTGGGCTTCGGAACCTTTTTTCAAAATAGCTGGGAACATCGGGGCCAGTCTTAGAGAATTTCAATGTCACAATTGAAAGAACAAACCGAAGTAATCGTTTGTGGGGGCAGAAATTTCCTTAAGATGGTGATACAAGATCTCCGGTGTCTTGATAAAATCAGCTCGCTCCTCATCTGAGTCTATAAGGATATAACAACTATCAGGCATCGATGTGAGAACATTTTTAGGATAGAATTACATGAGAAGTTGTCGTTGTACCAGTCACGACCTTGGAGAGAGGCAGCCGGAAAAAGAGTCGGAACAATCTGACAGCAGGAGAGGACGTGAGCCTGAGTTCAAGTATTGTTTAAGGTAAAAACCAACCCAAAATTTAGATCTGGCGTAAATGTCGAGATTCTTGCAATGCGGAGCAATGGCACCAACGGTCTGAAGGCCGGAGGAACCAATACCTATTACGGCACTAGTGGAGATCTCGGGGGTCGGCTATAAATCAATCAAGCGTTTAACAGAGACGACATACACGTGTTCGTCTTTGAAAGTGCTCTGCCAATCAAAATCGATAGGCCACTCAGCAGTGTGAAAAATCGGTGCCTTTGTGAATGACTCCAGACCGGAAATCACTGGACGATTTACATTACTATGAACGCGGATAAGGGGCAGGTGATATATCAAGAGGTGACGTTCCCATACCTCAAAACACCAGTCGCCGGGGCGAAGACATCATACGACATCGTATCGACTTGAGACGTTGCTAAATTCACCACTGTTATATCCCACGTTCCGAGAGCATCGTTATATTTGGCTGCAGTGACTTTGTGTCGAAGCCGAATGAAGGGAATAATTCCGTATTTTTGGGCAAATGTTTTGAAGTACTTCTTGATTTCACCCGCACCGGAATAGTATCTTTGGGATGCAATGTGAGTGTAGGATACTATAAAGGAAAGTAATCCGCCCACTCTGGCCAGTCTGCGTAAGGTGCAAACGAGTATTGGTAGGCAGCGCTCGGAACGTCGCCTTCATGATCCTCAGTCTCATTGCGAGCAAAAAGTAACGAGACAATAACGGCTTACATCGACAACCTGGATAGCGATTTGCATGCCTGTCAAGAACGAGTTAGAACCAGCGCGGAAGATCTTCTTATCTTTCTTACCATGTGCCCGTGAAATCTATAGGTATGGCAGTATAACTAAGCCGGCAAGTATTTACAGAATGAAAAAGACACTACCGTCATCTTTCTCGAACAAGACAAACTCGATGGGTCCAAGTACGCCTTTCTTCTGCGCTTCGATGATTTTATAAGCAAGACACAGACCGGCCGCTCCTGCGCCACATCTAGAATGTATAACTTAAGATTCATGGAGAAACGTAAAACACTGCAGCTCACATGGCAACACGCAAAGGCCGTGGATGAAATCCTAAAAATTAAATTGGTTTCGCACACCTACAGAACCGCTGATGTACTCACCAGGTTTGTTGAGATAGTTCCACTGGCTGGAGGCATCGCTGTTGGGGTTACTTGTCAGAGCAACCTTTCCATCGTCAATTTTGCGTCTGAAAAACCGAAGCATAATAAAGAGCTTGATGTCCGAGGAATGGTACGACAAGAAGATGAGACGTAGTTCCTTGTATATATATCGGTGACAGAGGGTCACCGGATGACAGAAGGGTAGAAAGAAAACACGAAACAGATCTCATCTGCTCATTGGCAGGCGTGATGACCCGGAGTCCGGTCATCAGCTAGAAGAATACAAGAATACGTGAGACATATAATGATCGTTCCCGGGTCATGGGCTTCGCGCCATCGAAGTCCATACCGCCACCCACCACCCGACGCAAGTGAGGTCGAACACCTCTGGACAAACTTTCCAAAGTGAATGCAGGATGCTCCATTAAGCCGTGGTGAAAACTGAAGTATGGCAAACCATCATTGACGAGACCCTCATATACCGCACAGTCGGAGAAACTAGGATGCAAGAAGCAGCAGTCATTAGACTAAGCAACTTCGGTGGCAAACGTATCAGCTGGACAATGCTGAATAAGCCGTGAGAGTGGAGCCTGTCAAGTGACAACGAACACTAAACCTATTGGATCTCAGAATGTTGCGTTTATCACTGGAAGGACTTGGCGCATTTGGGAACGAACTAGTGACTTGCATGACATTGGTTTCGGCGTTCCATACAACGTAAGGATAGACATTCACCTGTTGAAACCGTTTCCACAAATGCCAAATCGACACAACTAAGTCTGGATACATAGGAAGTGTTAGCCATGCCTGACGAAAGCAGGGCCGGTCCAGTCATACTGCTCTTATCAGCCTTTCAGCTTCTGGTTTTCTTTCCCTGTAAGCTACCAGAATCTCAGGATGATATTCGCCAAGAATACGGCATGGAGCATGTGCATACCTGAAGGACATTCGAAGTTGACACGATCCAAGATAAGACGGAAAGTGATGCCACAGGTGGCCTACCCTGTAAATAACGCAAATGGGCGTGGTCCGCTGGGGATGCTGATATACACCAGATGCCCTTTCCGCGCTTTCGAATCGTCCACCAATCGCTTCCAGTGCGCCCTGGTCTCGCACTAGTCTATAAATTCGTCTGCAGTAGAGATTTTGATATCGTGCGGGACAGAAAATAATCGAAACAAGTGACGGGCGAGTGCAGTAATGAGGTTGGAGACGTTTTGTTCTTCTTCAGAAATTCCGTTTACAACTTTTCGATTATTGACTTGTCAACTCTTATGTCATATTCAGCTACCGTGTAGAAGAAGCTGGTATCCCGGTCGGTGATGCGCCTGGCATAGCCAGTTATACGTTGTCAGTCCTATCAGCTCCATCCCAAGGAGACGCCATACCTCGACGTTCATCTTGTTGTTCGTGACAAGATTTCTTGTGTAAGCCTCGATGCTATCCGTTGGTAAACCGGATCGCAGAAATAGGCGTTAGAGCAGATCAAACGTTGCCTCGGTGCCCGCTGAGGTATTGTACACTAGAAAGATAGATTAAAGAGAGGAATCAATTGACAAAAGCGAACGCACCTCCGTATTCATATATTTCGTGACCTCCTGCGCTGCCAAATCCTCCCTTGTCTCCCATCCAAAATCGACTATTTCCTTCATCCGATCCCAGATATCCCACGGCGGTAATCCTGGTCGAAATCATCTTCCTTGTCTTGAGTGTGTGCCTGATAGATCTTCTAGATTTTCGTAAAACTGGGAGGTATATGAGATAAGATTTAACCAGGTCGAGCAGTTCTATGAGTGAGTTCTGCAAAATCAATCCCGCATCATCTTCTTTGTATACGTCCGCATCACTGCCTAGCAATGGCTGACGTTTGAGGATTGACTGGAAAAGACGGTGGTCCAAGGCTTAGGCTACCCTTGAATAACCATCATGGGAAGATTCTTCCAATACCTGACAGCACACCGAGACGCAGTCCATCAGCTGAAAATGCTGCAGATCGTCCATGTCCGCGTGTCTTCGCCTTGATGCGACGACATAAGATGGCAACATCATCTCACTGACTTGGCCCTGAGAAAAGACTGATGAAGACTATTGCTAGAAATAGCACATTGCGCCATGATACTCCCAAATCCATCCCCAGATCCTAGAACGATTTCACGTTGAGTGACCGGGAAACAGAGAATAACGCCGCGTGAGAATAACTTTATAAGGATATGGATAAACACACAGATATATTGTGAGCTATTTGAACACATGGAATACCAAATTCTGATATTTCTAGTCAGCGGGAGACGAAGACACGACGACGGCCCTACCGATACCGATGATTGGGCCTTCGTCGATTTTGCGTGCCGTCCAACGGAAAGGTGAATCATGGTAAGATGAGATATATTACAAAGGTCGTCAATGTAGAACCATAGCGATGACAGCGACACAGGACAACGTGGTGGTACGGAGGAAATATGTTTACAACTCAGACAAGGACCACCACCTCGTTCTACCCTTCTTCGACTATGATGGCAACACGACACAAATGCACTTCAATTCATACTCATACTACAAATACAAGTCCAATTATGGATTTCCAACGTATGGGTCTGTCATCTCAAATCTCCAATGCAGCAAGAGCAGCACCCAACACCCACGACAACAATCCGTTGTAGTCATACCCTACGGCAGCTTTGGACGCTGAAGAAGATGCCCTGGTAGTCACCAATGCACCTGAGGCTGCTGCAGTGGAGCGGCTGGTGCTCGATACGCTAGATGATCTGGCGACACTTGATGAAACAGTGGTGGAATGGGTCGAGAGACTGCTGGTTGCGATGGAAGTGGAATGGGTCGACGAACTATTCGTTCCAACGGAAGTGGATGAAGTTATATGCGACGAGGAAACCGTTGTTGCGGTGGAAGTGGAATGGGTCGACGAACTATTCGTTCCAACAGAAGTGGATGAAGTTATATGTGACGAGGAAACCGTTGTTGCAGTGGAAATGGGATGGCTCGACGAACTATTCGTTCCAACGGAAGTGGATGAAGTTATATGCGACGAGGAAACCGTTGTTGCGGTGGAAGTGGGATGGCTCGACGAGCTGTTCGTTCCAACAGAAGTGGATGAAGTTATATGCGACGAGGAAACCGTTGTTACGGTGGAAGTAGGATGGGTCGATGTAGAGCTGCTGCTCCTACACTCCAAGGAGGATCTCGATTTCGGGCTGGGCCACAGTATCGTAGCCTTCACCGGTGGGGGAAAGTGCAAGGAGGTCGAGCTTCATGGTGGTGAGTGCTCATTTCTTTGGGCCTGCTTCATTCGGCTTACGTAGTACACAGTCCTGACAGCGTTGGTTTTGGCCCTTCACCGTTAGTCGTGATGGGGTCGATGGTCTGTGCTGTGACCAAGGCCGCGGAAACCAGCAATACAAGTGCGAATTTCATGATGGTGGATGGAATGGTAAGCTGACGGGGGAAATAACTCTTCTATATATGTGATGCCCCAGTCATCGCTCCCTCGACAACCTACAATTGACATCTCTTACGTTGGACCTACGAATGGACGGCTTCAGTTTCCCATACATCGGTCTGCAGGAAACGGCATAGTCGACACGTTGACGACAAAGCAACCTTCCACCTCCGTTCGCTTTTGGGCCAAACGACCCAAAGTCCATTTCACTGATGGGCATTAATTCATTCACTAAATCGCGACCTGTACGTGAATGTGGACCTGGTGGTGGTGGGCTGTGTACTGCGCAATTCAAGCTTCAAGCTAAACCCAGACCTAGTACCCATTATCAAAGGCAGATTGTCTTCGGGTACGATCCTTTGTGCCAACATTTTTCCTTGTATACAACTTGCCATCATCGCCAACAAACGTACTAGCATTCCTAGTCACCTGATATCTGAGCCCATTCTATGTAAACAAGAATTGCTTGCGTGCACCAACACGCACTCCTGTTCCTATAAGGGTGGACTTTTCCAGGCTGACCATATCTATCCACATCTGAATTTTTTCATCTCACCAAAGCAAGGTAACACCAATTGTCGCCGCCCAACCGGGACGTGGGGTGGACCGGCCGGCTAATGAAGCCAGCCGCAGGTAACAGTTGGGCCTCTCTGCGATGTTCATACATGATTTCTTCGACACTTCCAGGTCACGCAAAAGACCCCAATGCCATTTACTTTCCAGGTGCTTCAACCTGTATTCCGCTACACCCCTTCCTTCCCGTAGGGGAACAAAGATTTTTTTCACGATGAACAAATTTTGCAGCGTCAAAGGACGAAAGGAGTAATGATTGGCTCTAAACCTCGCCGATCGCATACATTTCCAACCGCCACCTTCCCTATCCATTACTCTATCCCAAAAACTGTGCGGCGGTGTTCGAGAACATGTTACTCAAGTTTGGAGCATCAGTTCGTCGTCGTAGCCAAAATTTATGACCCCCCCCCTACTTCGGTGACCTTGTCGAGGACAATGACTCTTTCCGCTTTCTAGGGCCCTTCCGAGTGAAGTGAAAGTGTACGAGATGCTGCAAGCTTTCCAGGAGAGTTCAAGTTGCGTCTCTTGGTGTCTTGGTCTCTGTACAGTGCTTCTTCATGCCCAGGGAGGCAAGATTGTTTACATCCTATCGTTGGAGTTTGTCTTCGGGAAGGAGCTGCGATATCTCTGTGACCAAGAGATATAGGGACGAAAGGGTTTGATTTCCTTTGCAAGACACCGCGACAGTTATGGATTTTGATAAACCATCGTGTCTTTCCAAGGAACATCATCATTCGACCCCCAGCTCCGCTCCAACTCTCTTTTTGCTCCAGTGGGGGCTGACCGGCTCGCTCCGAAATCGACGCCGACAACATTCAGGCAGTCATGGCCGACTTTGAGAGGGTGAATCTTGGGGAACGGCGTGATCAGGACACGAATAACTTTGTTCGGGAGCGTTTTGTGGTTTCGGACCCTTAAAGAATACCCCTAGCCTGATTTTCATCCAGGTTAGGGTACTATGTCTCCGAACCTCATGATTAGGAACCCCTCCATGCCCCGAATGAATTGGACTCGGGATGCCGTGGTTGGCAAATTTTTCGAATTGATTTGGGAATCGGGTGGTCTCTCAAACTGTTCTGTGTACAATGTGTCCGTAGTGCTCGATCCGCTATCGTGGTTGCGTTGATATTTTTATCATGGCCGTAGAGCACGGGCGCACTCGGAGTCTTGGGGTCAATCTGAAAATATCTACAGACACAACGGCGGACGATATACGTATCATGGGGTCTTGCAATGACATTCCTACATGGACCCCATCCAAAAAGGAGGTCATTGAACGATATCGTGGATTCAGGTCTGTCTCCGAAGAATACAGCTGAATATACTCAATGACTCGGCAACATAGGCAGCTATACCATATCTTTCCCATTTATACGGTCTGTAGTAATAAGGCATATTACAGTACCAGTTGGCTATGCCAAGAAGAATATGTAAAGTACACATACCTCTGATGCTATATACATGTCCGTTACTCTACTCCACATTACATGCCAAAACACCCGGGGAACTCAAAAGGAAGAGCGGAGGGACTGGAACAAGAGGGAAAGAGGATCCTGAGGCCCTGTACCTCCACCGCGTCTTAGTAGTTAGCTTACTTGTTGCGGTTAATCAAATGCTGAGAACAAAAAAAAAACCTCTGATGCTATACCAGGGAAATGAAATTCACCATCTCATACGGACATTCGATTTGCCCTTCATATCGCTATGCCGGTGTGGTTCTCCAGTTGGTATTACACTCGGTGTAGATTTTGACATTTTGCACTATTCGTTGTTCTGATTCACGCGCCACTTGATATGTGAGATACTCTGCTTCTCAAACTCGTTCCCGTGCTAAGCCTGTTTGTGCCATCTCGCATGATTTAGGTACATACAGCTTCCATAGGCTCTTTCAAGTAGGAGTCTGCGGATTTCTCGAGCTCTTTCAATGAACCGGCGATTGCAGTCAGATAAGACGCGCTTTCTGAAAAGATATTGGTTGAATCACAGCTAAATAATATATGCTAGAACTTAATAAGTGTTTGTCTGGGCACAAATTAAAGAGATTCACCCGCACTGTTGCTCGTAACAAATATGCCAATAATTTCAGACTTGCACGACGAACCACCAGGCGACGGAGCGTAAAGAATCACCGAACTCCGTCGGACTTGTACACAATCATCGGCAAAACAGTAATATTAGAACTAGAAGCCCGGACGTACTGAATTGATGGACACCGTCGAATGAATGTAAAAAAGATTAACCTAAGCGCGTTCTGCGAAAAGCCGGAGTACAGTAAAGAGTTCCGCGCGTTCAATCTCGCAGTCCCATGGATGTCACCTGACCTTGAATGAACTGCGCGAGGGAGCAGCCACACATGCGTCCTGGCGTGGGGCTCTTTCATTGGTATTGATATATGATAGGCGAAGAAAGGCACGTAGCTTGGAAATTAGTTCACCAAGAGTACTGAGTTTCTGTTCTTCTAATCAACTTCAAGTTTCAAGTTTGAAGGGCTGCCTGGAACTCGGCAGCTTCTAGTGAGTCGCTATGCAACGAGAAAGACTCCTTCGCCTTATTAGACGCAAATGTGAGGTTCTAACGTAAGACAATCCACTTTTTGGTGTAAGCGTTGACTTGCTATTATTGCTCACTGAGTCAACTGAGCCATCTGTGGTGACAATTCAATGACAAGCAGAATCTAGAGAGATGTATTGATTGCCTGGTGGTTTCGAGCTCAAGAGTCATGAGATGATGGCTCATCATCTGTGAATTCTTCGTTACTAGGGCTGACTTTAGGAAGCCAAGACGGAGTTATTTTCATGATATCAATACCGATCACGCGCATAAGAGACATACTCAGCACAATCGGATTGAAGAACCATCTGGGTGACATAAACTTCAGAATTTCCAGATTCCTATTCAGTACTAGTACAGGTAAAGCCTTCACGTTAATAATAAAAACGTTTGGCGGGGTCTGAACCAAGACTCAAGAAATACGTAGTGCAGTGGCGTTTAATATGTACTGCCATAGCACTTTCGCAACAAGCCTAGGATGCATCATGTCAATTGAAGGGGCAAATAAATGCCTGCAGTGGAATATTGCTGATCCAGCTTGCTTGTCCTGAAGATACTAGTGAGAAGTGCGCTTTGAGTCAGAGCTTGAGAAGGGCGTACGGAAAATGCCAAAATGAATATCTGTTTCACGTACCAGCGACCTAAGGAACCTGAGGAGAGCGTTTCTCCAGCCATAGGCACAGTAGTCGAATATCCATAGTCTATAATCGCGCAAAATTCACGTCTGTCTGACGCCAAAGATGGCCTGCCACGTACCAAAGGCTTTTGCTGCATCCCTACGGTACAAGCAGTCAAATCAAATCCACAAATTGATGAAATAGAATTTCGTACCAAAAAGGAATTGTCTTATCTGCCTGCATTTCGAAGAATCGCTCAGAAAAGTTGCTCGGAATCGATTGGACGTTATTTTGCAGCAACGTATTGAGACAAATGGCACCGATGAACGCCTTCATACATCCTTGCCTGGAGAAGGAGAAATCAGAATAGAACAATGAAAGAGGGGGGGGGGGCAGAAACTACTAACCCAAAGACAGGATTGACTCTCATAACACTGTCTCCAGCAGCGACAAAGTTTGCTGGTAAATTAGTAGCCTTCTCGTAGCGAATGTGATTTGCAGTTACTGTATAAGCAAGTTTAGATTGGCAATGTGCAAATAGGTTGAAAACACACGGAATTGAGTCTTGCTGCATTCCGCAGTGTCTTTGACCTCATCAAGGATGTCCAAGATCTGCAGGAACCATTCCGGGATAGGCTTTCTTACAACCAAGCTATTCGTGTATTCCTTGAACTCATCGAGTGTCTGAGGGAGGTCGGGACAGCCCCAGGCTCCGGCGCACAATTGAACTATGAAGATGGTCAGACCTGGCACCAGAGGGACGTGGTACAAGATAGCGTACCAATGTCACCTTCGATACGCTGGCAATATAACGCGCGAGATTCAACCCCAGCTTCGGTTAAACAGACATAAATTGAACTGCACCGATCCCATGACGTCGTAAGCCCAGGGAACTTCTTTCCCACTTCGGGGGGCACATGGAAGCGCAGTGTTGAGTAATAAACGTTCGGGTTGTACTTGACATTCACTTCCTCGAGAGAAAGTTTTCCCCTCGGGTACTCGCCCGATTCAGGAACGCCGAAGCCTTCGCGTCGTAGCCATTTCATCCCACCGCTTGCTGGACCAGTGCAGTCTGGGTGCGTCTCAGTAATAAGTCGAGACGCATTCCATGAATTGAAGGCAAGTATGACCCACCCATAACCATCACGGCGTCCAAAGTCAAGGATCCTTCCTCCGTGCGCACAATAACCTTGTCAAGGTACCGCTTATCTGACCCACTTCTAGAGACGCCGATAACGGTGCCAATAACTTGGCGAACATGCTCGTGACGACCACCGAGGACCAACCGGCGTAGAAGCGTTTCGAGACCGATGCGTCCGACAAACGTCGAACTTGGAAGCGCGCCGCCATATTCTTCATATGGGACGTATTGCCATTCACCATAGGTTGAAAGGCGGAAGTCAGCCGGGTTGATGCTAAACAGCCGACACGTTACCGGGTAATCATCAGGCGCAGAACAGAAAGGTACCCACCGTACATCAGAAGCTTTGCATTCCTCATCAAAGAAGGGGAACAGCTTGCGGTATACCTGGTAAACGAGGGCAGGATATGCTGTTGACTAATGTCAAGAGAGTAGAGAATACATAATGGAGCGGACGAACCGTGGAAAGAGTGATATTGCATTACTCGGGAACGATTATGTTCCTGGTTCCAAGCATCCCTCCGTTGGGCGTCATCACGGCCCAACCATGACTCGGCTTCGACAAGAACAACATCTTCAAAATGATCAAGGCAAACGCGAGCGGCAAGGAGACCTGAAATGCTGCCAGATATATCATTTAGACAACCAAGGGCGGATCATGCTGTGGATAATGCTACCTGCCACCACAGATTACGGCAGTGCCTCGAATTTTATGTTGAGCTGTACGAGGAAGACCAAGGGCGTCGATGTCCTTGACGCAAGTCTGTTTCAGGAACAGGTGGCGCCTTAAAGCGCGCCCAAGTAGTGATAGAAAGTAGTAGAGGGCAAAGGGAGCCACAGAAAGCCATAAAAGTCTCATCGCGAAGACACGAATATTGCCGACAACGGTTGCATGTCGCCACACATATATATGGCTACGGACCCAGATAGTTCGTTCAGATTTAAATCCAGGTTTCCTCCATCAGAAGATACATGAGGTGCTGAAGAAGCAAAGGAAAACGCTGAGGTGGGAACTATCATGTGTTCCCAATGTGCTTCTATCAAACAGCAGGGGCTGCCGGCGCCGGAGTAAAAAAAAAAGTGCTCACTTCAGGGGTCAGAAGAGGGACAGATTAGACGCAGACAGAAGAACGCAATTCAGAAAGTTGCGATCCAATGATTTAGTCGTTTGTTAGTGTAACAGTTTCGTCAAGGACGAGGGGCGTACCGGCAGAAAACTTTCCCATGCAGTGGCTGTGCAGGTCCGGACCCCAACTTAGAATACTTTTCGGTGTACTCGAGACCATCTCTCGGTCGATGATAAGTTTGTGGATCCTTTCAAGAACTTCAAAGATGTGACGAAGGCGGATTCCAGGCCTTTGGCGGAACATATTTGCGGTCAGAGAGGTCCTGAAGTGATTTTGCTTTAAATACGCAACAAAACTCTTCGTCCCTTCTACGGTGTGATCCGAGTTGCCAGGTGCGCTACAACTCCTGATAGCGGGTTTAAACGTGCCCTTGATTATTTGGTAAAGGCAGTTGCCTATCGATTCATAAAACTATACGGGTTATCGGTCCATGCAACTTGGTGAACAAGGGGCGTGGACACTCATGAAAGTATTACTGTGTCCGCTCATGACAATATAGCGAAGTCTGGGCGTTTTTCAGTTGAAATGCCAGGTTTACTTTGTCATAGAGGATGACGCGTGCTCGTTGGCACGGCCCGTGCATTATTTCACCGGCTTTCCCTCGCGGGAGAAGAATCGTCTGTTATGATATTGTCGAGGTCTGCAATAGTCCCGATGTCCGAAGATAGGTTCCCGGACCAACAAAGGAACCTTGGAGAAACCGACAAGAGAAATGCGACACTGCAAGGGAACTTGAAGAAGATCCTCGGAGTACAACGATGTGTAAAACTGAGGACGAGTAATCCCCCTACCAGAACACAAACGAGACTACCGGAAAGCGTTTCGCAAGGCAACGAATAATTTACGACGTGAGCTTTGAATAATGAAGTCATTCAGTTAGTGGCCGACTACGACGACTACTGTCGGAATTCGTTTCAGATTTTACTCGAAACTTGTTTAGTTCAGGTCAACCACACCGATACTATGATATTCGTACTGCCCCTGCAGCAAGTCTCGATTACTATCAGCGCTCCATGGCCTGGAGAAATTCTTGGCGCACGTATTTTCGCCCTTATCCAGCTTTTCGGCGTAGCACTCATGCCATCAGGAACTGCAGCAGGGCTCAAGCATCCATGAAAATCCGTGAGCATCCTTTATAATCATTATCTCGCGGAGTTCATAACTCGTCGTACGTTGTAACAGTATGATGCATCTAGCTGCATCGATACCCTTCATCAGGGCACACGCTCCTTTACATATACCTGATCCTGATCCAATCATTCTGATGATGCTTCTTTGGTGAGTTTTCATGTTTGTTCTGGACACGTCTCGGCGTCTTATACAGGGCTGTATTAACAGGTCTTTACCTTTCTCCGAGAGCCTGAGGTTGTAATGGCCTGCGTAGGACATTGTTAAGGCATGGTTTTAGGGTATAGCGCCGACTATCTGCGTGTGTATAACTGCGCTTCCGAATGAAAGCCCTAATATCCGCCAAGTTTTATCACTGCCGCAGACTTCTTTCTTATGCTCTTCAAAAGAAAGACTCGAAATGACCGGTACGTGCTATTTTCCTTTTGTCAATGTCAAAAATTGAAAGGTTATCCCACAGAGCCGATCATCGACCAGCTTTTGCTGTATTGGCTGAATATCAGATTGACCAGCTACTGATTATTGAGCCGTCCACTTTCGTGCATACTCACCTCGTATTATTCTCATTGTGATTCTTCGCTTTAACCACGGAGGTATGAAGAATCCCTGTCTTTTCTTCCCATAGCCCTCTGACACACCACAGACGATATGGGTAGACCCACTCATTTTGGTCGCCATACACTCTTTGGTCATCATACATTCACTTTTGTGTCGAAGTACATCTTAATTTCTTTCTGACTTACCGGATCATTAACCTGCTATTGCCTGTCCGTCCTGGTAAGATAAGCTGACCTTGCTGTCCAAATGTTACGAAATTAATTTATAGGCCATTCACGGAGATGGGTTAGGTCTGTAAGTTCGAGGTTTCAAAGATGGGCCTCCGAATCTATGTTAAATGGGCGTCGAGCGGTCGCCGAGGCAAGTGATGATATTCTTCATTGTATATTCATCGATCGTGTAGCCTGGTGAAATGGCCACTCAAGTCCAGTACGACACCATCGAATTGGTTTGTTTTTATCTTGTTATTTCTTCCAGATTATTTACGGACTGTTCAGAAGCAAGATAAAGTCAGGGAGACGTTCAGGCTGACATCCTTCTCCGGGAATAAATTAGTCCAATGGATTGTTGAGAATGGTGGCGGTATCGTTCTAATCCACAAGTTTGATGGAGTGCAATGAAGAATTTCATCTGGACTATCGCCTGCGTGGTATTGCAAATGAACATCCTTTCTCTCGGACGTAATCTCTAAGAAAACGAATTCCCTCCAAGTCCTTCATAATAAGTGAATTGAGAATACTTGTGTCGTGATGCGACAGATACGCAAATTGGAAGGATTTTCAGTCCGGCACCTTCTTTTATTCAAAGTCTCTTCGGCAAATGCCCTGTTCCGAGTCGAACAATGAACGTGTTTGTCCACTTCATCGACTATTTTGGCCCTCCTCCCTCTCAGAAGGCCAAAAATTGAGTTCAGCGATATTTGCGGCGGCGTAAAAACCCGATCTGGCACATCTACTTCACTTATCAAGACTGAACATCCAAAGACCAAGCCAACCAGGCGGGTGAGATATTGTTATAATACATAATACTTCGTTCTGATGAGGCATGTGCCCTAGCGATAACAACTTTGAGATACTTGGGGCGAACTGGCTTATACATGAAGTTTACGTCTTTGGGTCAGTCTGTTCCCCGGTGTTCCCAGCACACGGATCTCACGATACGTCTTCCGCGTAGCCAGCTTTCGATTGGCAACGTGCATCCGTGGCGCTCAGAGCTCAAAACACAGATCCATGAAGCATGGTGCGGCATGAGCACGCCTTCTTAGTATCACTCATGAACTCTGAAATCTACAGTTCTCTATCCCAGGCGCCCAAGATGGCCGGGTGACTGAATCTGTGAGGAAAGCCTTCCACGAATATTGATGTTCTAAGATTCATTGTCGTTACCCAGGAAACTAAGTCCGAATAATCCCTTTCGGAGGTCTGTGCATGCTTCAATCCAGAACACAGATTAATCGAGCTCATTCGGCAGTTACCTCTGGTAGAAATGGGGATGTGGACTCTTGCCCCCAGAAGTGTGCCTCTTGAAGTTCGGTAGGAGTATACATTTGTTTGCTCTTCTTCAAAATCGAACTTTGGAAGAGTGAAATTGGGGTATGGAAATGCACTTGTTCTGTACAGTAGGGATAGCAACATGATAAGATAGTTTACCAAAACATGCGGAGACCAGGCGTGTCTGCAACTAAGGGCGAATAGACGACGCCGCGTTTTGCCCAAGTTACTCGCTCAAGATGGAAAATTGTATATCGGAGGTGAATAGAAGCAGGTCTGTATGAAGAAATATATGATTTGCAGATAGAAAAACCGGAGATGACGACAGAGCTCGAAAGTTGGATCCCCAGATCGGATAATATCCTTGAACTTAATTAATTAAGAAAAAAAAGGAAAACGCGTGGGTGACATGTCATGTGCTTCAGTCCCTGAAATGTCACGTCACAAATGAGAAAATTCCCCCCACCACCACCATTGACCTCGAACATCTGAAAGCCTTTCGCATTCCTGGTAAGTGAAACTTATTTGATTGAGTCATGATGCCTAGAAAAAGTTGGTACAGAATATCTTCTTGTCACTCACCACTTATTTTTTTTTTCATAGGGGCGATCGTTCGGACGGAAAGAATGACCATGTCAACTCGAGCTGCAAAATACGTCTCAGTCGCCCCAGGAACAAATGGAAAGAAACGAAAACTAGCGCACGAACCAGGGTCTCCTCGCCGGAAGAAACTTCGAACGGTCCAAGGCCCGTTGAACCGACTTTCTACTTTACGTTCCAACGCCCCATCTGCCTTGTTCGTTCATGGAGGAGGAGAATCTGGACAGCTTGGGCTTGGACCGGACGTTCTAGATGAAATTCCTCGACCCAGACATCACCCAAAGTTCGAGAAACTAGGTGTGGGTATTCAATGTATGGCGGCGGGCGGAATGCATTCTTTGCTCGTTGATTCGAAGGGCCGGGTGAGTCAGCTATCAGAGAAAATAAATCGGACACAAAGTCATGGATTCTATTCACAGGTTTGGTCATGGGGCGCTAACGATGAATTTGCTCTGGGTCGTGAAACGGAGGGTGTGGCAGGCACAGATGCTGATGAGCTGGAATCGACGCCGGCTATTGTCAGTGGCCTTGATGACTTCACTGCTGTCTCTGCATCTGCGGGTGACTGTATTAGTGTTGTCATCAGCACAGAGGGTCAATTGCGTGCTTGGGGAGCCTTTAGGGTGAGTCAATGTGCAACCGCTGTAGTCTTTCTGTGAACGTATAACGACATAGACAGAAGATGGCTTACTGAGCTTCGACGGCGACCCTTCTCATCCCTCAAAAATAGCCCAGCCGCAGTCCTATTCCTGGCTCTCCGAGGAAACGATCTGTCAGGTCAAATGTGGTGCCAGCCATGTTCTAGCGCTCACTACTGACGGGCACGTCTTTACATGGGGATTTGGCAAGCATGGAGAACTCGCACGTAAAGAGCAACACCATACTTCAACTCTAAAGCCAGAGCGGCTCTCTTTGCGTAATATTGTCACTATTGGAGCCGGGAGTCACCAGTCGTTTGCGGTGGATTCAGAAGGCTCGGTATACGGTTGGGGATTGAACCATATGCATCAGCTGGGGTTAAGGCCCGAACGAGTTGGACCAGACACGAGCGTCTCTGTCCCGACGCTCATTGATTCGCTGCATCCCAGCTTGCATGGCGGTGCCCGGGTGATTGCAATAGAGTGTGGGTAAGTCTGTCAGTCTAATCCATCTTTTTGGTCCTGACTGTCTCTTAAGTGAATTCCATACCATATTTCTGTTCGATAATGGTGAGGTTTATGGATGTGGACGATGCGACGAATACGCCGTTGGGCTTGCAAATGACCATCCCGCCATGATAAATGCTCTACAGAAATACGAAGAAGAACTTCCGTCGCTCCGAGAGGAGCTATCAAAGAAGTATGGGTGTCCTATCGATGATCCCCAGCTGAAACGTCCAGTCGTTGACCTGCACATTCGTGAACCTGTCCGGATAGCATTTCCCCCGCCGCCAACCGACGAAGAGCCTGCACCCACGCTCCCCCCCTTCGATCACGAGTATTCATCGACGAAGATTGCAACCATCTCTGCTGGACTCAGATACAGCTTGGCGTGCTCGACAGAAGGAATGCTGTACGCATGGGGCGTAGGCAGCACTGCGCAATTGGGGTTGGGTAAAGAAGAGACTGCCGAGACACCGACGAGGGTGCGTAGTAAGGAACTGAAGGAATATTCAGCTGTCAATGTGGATGCCGGAGGTCAGCATGCACTTGTGAGGTAGGACCCCTCTTTTCTTGCGTTTCCAACGTTTCCGGTGCTCAAGCCAAAACCGTTGCAGTGCAACCCGGGCAGGTTTCGCCGCAGCCGCCGCTTCTTAAAGTTCATCGTGACCCACGGGCGAGATTTCGCTCCACTCTCATTCATATCTGTACCTAACTATTTAGATGCAAAGGAAGAACATATACTTATAGGTCTTTATTTGTTTTTTTCTCTTGACCCCATGGGGTTTCGAACGGATGCGGAATATCCATTCCCGACTTGCTGTTTTCCCATCACTTCGGTGCAAATCCATCGCCACGAGGTTGTATATTCTTCCATGTTTCATCGCGCGCCATAACATCATCACAGTTCATTATGTCAAGATAGGCCGGGCCGTCAACGATACAACTCGGATAAACTGCTTGCTCCAAAATGATCAACTCTAGAAGCTTCAGACGCGTTACAGTATAAAGCTTCTCGTTTCTTGTCGAGTTCTTCTTCTCTGCGCCCATGAAGGTCACGCTGCCTGTCCTCCTAGCTTTTGCGCTCTTGGTACAAGCGCAGGATACCACCCTCCCAGCAGATGTTGGCACTGCAACGGCACTCGCTACGGGTACTCCCATCCTCAGTAGCTTGGACAGCTCTATCAGCACCACCGTCCTCGGAGTAAGCGATGGGGGTGGAACTACGCTCTCCTTCGAGGTCACTGTGTGCGTCTTTCGTTCCTTTGTCTGGCGTCCGACGTTATTATTGACGCGTGTCATGTGTCGTGTGTAGGACGGACCTAAGTGATTTCCCGTCGGATTCGCTCACCATCTTCAGCAATCCGTCAGGGTCAGGGACGTTGACGACGGTGCCGTCAGTGTCAAGCGTGTCCACGTCGACGTCGAGAAAGTCAGGAACGTCGACGGCCACTCAGAACAGTGGAGCTGGGGGATTGAGGGTGGAGGGACTGGTAGTTGGTGTTGTGGCGGCTCTGGTGGTATGGTCGGTGTGAAGCCGAGACGAGTAACGATGAACTTTCAATCATGATCAAACAGACATACTATTTATTCTACTTATCGGCTATCTTTTTATTCTGTTGAAGCATTTGTTCTGCCCATCGTATCTGCCACCGTGACAGTAGTATTTATTGTATTAACATTCAAAATCTGTGATTGATGGCATCATTTCGCTTGTTTCCTTCCTCCAACGTCACTCGGCTTCACATGCCACCCACCAGTGCCGATGACACACTCTCTTCAAGCTCCAAGGAGGAAGCTCACCGCGACTTCTCACTATCGGTCGTCGTATCGGCGTTTCGGGACTCAGGTCCGAGGCGAGTAAAACTGTATAGTCCAGGAGGCACAATTGACATTACCAAATGATACCAGAGACCCCAATGCCATCCAAGCGCCTGCTACGAACTTTATCCTGCCAAAGCCTCTCGATTTCCCAAGGGCGACAAGTGGCGCAAACACGATAAGCGCTCTCTGCAGCGTCAGAGCGAGAATGGAATATTCTCTCTATGCCTCACCAATCGAATACGTATCCCAGCACGGGCGTCGCCATCGTTATCCATCACATTATCCCATAAACTATGCGGTGGATTTAGAGAACACGTTACCCACGTCTGGACTGCTACCACCTCGTTTTCTAAACCGAAGAAAGGCTCCACTATCGTCGTCGCCAAATTCTACGATCCTCTATTCTTTGGTGACTCCGATGGCACGGACATCAGGGCCCCCCTCTGCCTTGCTACTTGGTCTGCCGCCACTCAAGTGGGATCGTACGAGAATCTCGAGTCTCTCCAAGGGACTGGCATTCCTTAATGTTTAGGCCTCTACGCCGCACGTTTTCATGGAAGCAAGGCAGAACCGTGCACGTCCTACTGCTGGAGCATGTCGCTGGAAAGGACCTACGGTACTTCTGTAGTCAGGGAGAGGTCGTGACCAATTACCTGCCATTTGACAAACACCGTGATGCTATATTCGCCACCTTCTTCCGATTGAACTATGGATTTCACCAACCCTAGGCGTCTTTCAGACCGATTTAGGCCCAAGGACCACCATCGTCAGAGCCCATCTCGTCGAGGACCATTTTGTTCTGCCGAGTCTTGTCCGGTGCGTCTCGAAATCGATGTCGATGATGTTCAGGCAGAGATGGTCGGCTTGGAAAGGGTTCGACTTGACGAACCGCCTGACCAATGTGCGATTGAACGTATTCGGAACAAGTTCGCTGATTGCGTACCCAGCGAGTACTTCTACCGCTGGCTCAGGGGTTTGCGCCGACATCCATAGTGTTGTTTGTTTGGCTCGGCTTTGAGACGTACCCAGGCCAGCGAGTACCTCTACCGCTGTTTGAGGAACCAAAGTCACTGTGTGTTCGTCCTTGATTCTCAGCGTTAGGTGACCTCGTGACTAACTCTTTCAGTCAACCTCACCTTTTTCTCCTGCAAATTCGCTTTAGTGGCCGTCAGTTCGCTCCCTCCGCCGTCAAAGACCACAACCAGGCAGCCGCTTGACCAAGAATATAGGTGCAATGCGACTGTTGGGCTCTTTTGCCGCAGAATGCTTCCATCCTCGATTACCCATAAACACGTACACCTCCATCTTTGGTCAATATTATGGGGCGGTTTGCAAGGCGGCATGATGGCCTGATCTTGCCATGAAGGAGAGCAAAGGGGCCGCTGACATGTCATGTCTGAACTACTTCCTCACACAACGCTGGAAGACCCCAAGGCCATCTACTTTCCGGCGCTTGTTACCAGCTATACGCCGTCCCTGTTCCTGATTTTCCCGAGGGCGACGAGCGGTGCGAACACAATAAGGAGTCCCTGCAGCGTCAAAGAGATGAATGGCGTATACGCTCTGTGTCTTGCTGATCGCATACATCTCCCACCATCTCCATCTCTGTCCATAACCATATCTCAAAGCTTGTGCGGCGGCATTCGAAAACGCGTCACTCATGTTTGGACCGCTTCTACACCAAAGAATTCTCCTTCTACTATCGTCGCCAAGTTTTATGGTCCCCTATACTTCCGTGCAGAGTACGACGATACTGATCCTTTTCATCTTGCCGCATGGTTTGCTGCTAGCGAAGTGAGAGCGTACGAGAAAAATCTCTTCAAGGAACTTGTATTACTCGGTGCCTCGGCCTCTATGTGACGGGCCTTCCTGAACAGGAAGGACGGACCGTGTATGTCTCAATATTGGAGCATGTCACTGGGAAGGACCTGCGTTATCTCTGCGAGAAGGCAGACGAAAGGGAAAAGATCGTTGCTGATGATCTGGGCGAGGAGCACCGGGATGCTATATGTTCCACCATCTTCCGATTGGCTATGGAATTTATAAACCTTTGTGTTCTCCATGGCGATTTGGCTCCACGACCTGTTTGCTCCACCAAGCGCTGCCTGGCCCGCCATGAAGTCGACGTGGAGGATGTTCAGGTGGTGATAGTTGACTTTGAGAGGGTCTTCTTCCTTGACCCAAATGATCAGTCCCTCATTGATCGTTATAGAAAAACGCCTTGTGGATGTCATACCTAACACGTACCTTTCTGCCTGGTTTCGAAACTTACGTGGGTTCCCGTAGCAGTGACCAGTGGTGTCAACACGACAATCTTACTCTGCAACGCCAAAGGAAAGCTTGACGCGCGCGATATAACTCTGGTGTTCATGTCTCCTTTATCGCTCTGCTTCCTCCCACCCCATATTTCTCTTGCGGCATATCAAATTCGATAGTGAGCCCCCCAGCTCGTGGAGGCCGCGGCTCCGCGCCGAAGACGAGGTGCCTGCAGAAACAATCAAGCATGTGATGCATAAAGTCATTGAAGTATCATCCATACTGCGTGTAGACAAAAGATATAGAACGGAGCTCGCACTATTGCGGTACCAGTAAGACAGGCAGCTCGCTAGCAGCAAGACAATAATACGTGCCCAAATCTACTCTACACCAGCTCAAATCCCAGCTCATCCCAATCATCCCTACGTGAATCCACAAAGGTGAAACAGAAAAGCTTCACCCTATTCGTCGTAAGGCGCTGGAACAACTCCTTAAAGAAACTCAGCGCCGCCCAGGCCCACGATCTATGAGAACCCGTCAAGCTCCGGAGCACAATCTTGAGGGTACACTGAACGTCTGCTACATCGACAGTCTGCTTTCTTTGCTTGTGTAGCTTGGGTGGCGTCATATGATCATGCCATCCCTGGAGCTTGTGCAGGAGAAGCACCTCAAGGGGAACCTTCATGGCAGCATCATCGTGCCAGCCATGACGACATCAACTTTGGTGTACTTGGTAATGACCCCTTCTCCGATATATTGACGGTGCTGATACCATGAGACTTGGTAAGTGGCTCCCGATGCCTTAGCCTTTCTGAGGTAAAAATGGAGGGGATCCTGGTTGACCAGGCTGCGCTTGACGACTTCCGAGCCCGCCGAAGACAAGATGAGGATATCGACGTTTGCTGTCGGTGACCTGCATGGCGAAGGAGAATCGGTGATCTGCTTGCTAGGCGCTGGGTGGCATAAGCGAGGGTCGATGAATCGCCCACGACGTGAATGTCCAGTTGCCACTACTGCGGAATAAATTAGCTTATACGATGGAGAGCAATAAAGTAAAACCCACGGAGCCACCGGTTGCTGAACCACAGAGAAGATACCATGCTAGATCACCGTAGATAGTCCAACGAACATTTAGGGCTTGGAAGGAGTCGAGTATTGCGACAGCGGCACTGCGGATGACGCTGATCCTGAATACTTTGTTGCCGGTCAGTTGCTGGGCGACGAATGCGAATGAGAGAATGGAGTTAGAAAGCAGGAAAGTACGTCTTACGAGAATGACTTTGTTGCTTTCCCTTGGACCGTGTCAATGGAAGCGCAGTACTTTTGCGAGCGTCTATCAAGGGATTGGCATAGATAGAAATACAGATTATGAAAGGATAACATATTGCGACAAATGATCCTATCGCTGAAATAACGACCTAATTCTTCTCAATCAAGGTCGTTTAATATGTGACTTTTCGTACAACTATTACTTTGTGACGCAGGGTGTGGTAGTGGCGCGCGACATCCAGCTGGAATATATTTCATGAGCCATAGAAGCAAGAGAAATGAGTGAAACTTTGCATTGTTCAACCCAAGTTTCCTTCGAAGTGAGGATGACGGCAAAGAGCATCCTCTAGAAATTCAAGGCGATCCTCAGAAAAGGAGCCAGGCCCTTGTACAAGTTGGAGAGATTGCCAGCCTTTCAGCTGCTAGGAGAGTCCTGAGTAACTATATTAGCTCGCAGAGTTCCAAGGAAATAATTGAACGGTGTGCTTGCCTTTTGGCACTCGAACGCTCTAGTATCGTTCCGATTGCGTATAGTAGGCTGAAAAGGCCGACCTGAAGAGAGATAGGAAGACAACGTCGCGGCCGAGAGGAAATGGGGAGAGGATGATGGGGGTTCCAGAACTCTCAGAAAGACTTTTTAAAGAGGTGGTCATCGACCACTACAGTGAGAAGACACGTTCGTCGTTGCGCTCGACTGCCGCGTCTCTACCCCTCAGAATTTGTACTCTCTGTTCTTGCCACATGGTTTACTTCTCTCTCATCTTGTAGCCATGTTCTCGATTTTGGCATCGGGAGCACCCACTATGCAGGGGGACATTATTTCTGCCCGCTTCCAGACCGTTGGCAAAGAATCATCACCAACAGCGTTCATCGTTCAAAATGTTCTATTTCCATGGGCGTCTAGTTTCAGCCATCAAAGAAATCCTTCAAAGTTGCTAGTTTGTAGAACTTTGGATGGTCTCCTTTTCACCTTTGTTTGCGAAAAGTTCTCTGTCCTTAGCCATTTGTACGAGTATTGCCGACCTGTAATTGGGTTTTCATCGACATTTTCTGGGGTGAACGGTTGGAAGGTGAACCAACCACGGTGCGTATGCTGACTCTGCTGTTTCGACTACTGCAAAGTGTTCTTCAACTATGGCCTCGTGCAGCCTGATGACGTCCCGCTCCTTCCCTTCTAGCTTCTTCTACAGCGCTGAATATATGGATACACCTACACTAGAAGGCGCAGGGTCACCGTCGAAGCTTGCCGAGTTCAGCATCGATGATAAAGTGAACTTTGTGTGGTGGGAAAACTGGCTCCTGGCAGGCAGTACGATTAGTACATCCTTGGAAGGCATCATGGACCTATGGAATCTTTACCTATACCCAGGGATGGACATCGACTCTCCTGCCCTAAAAGTTGCATCTCAAAATGACCCGGGAGTAACGCTTCAAGATCGCCGGAGACTGAATCATGGATCAAGTCTCCGCCTCCGTCGTCCGAAAAAGTACCTGTTCGACTAACTTGAGGTCTAGATAAATTCATATGTCCTGCGATTCATGGACTGTCCTGTATATTATAACTGCACCCAAGGTATCTTCAATTTTCAGATCTTGAATCCATTTTTCCTTGTTTATTTACAGAAAAGTTCATCAACTAGAGTATTCGAGGGCAAAATCATGCTTGCTGTCAATACTGCCGCCACTCCACCAGGACACGTGCTGTCCAGTGAAGATCGTTCAAAATCAAGAATACGCAAGGTCCCGCTCCGATCTGTCGCACGTTCCTCAGCTCGAGGTCATGGCGATGAAGTCCAATGGAGTGGAGAGCATTCGCGTGCTTCCAAACACTTCGGCTACATTCATGACGAGTCAGAATCAAGTCAACAATTTATCCCAACACTTACAGCTCCTCCACGCTCATCCCTGCTTCGCCCCACGCGATACAATGGAAGGCTTCTCCTACGTCACCCAAGATCACAGTACCCCAAGATTCATCGGGCATCGTAAATGTACCATAATACAAAGGGGCGACGTCGTCCAAATTTTCGTAGTTGCACTATTTTGTACAGTTGAACGGTACTAATGTAACATTGTTGATTTTGGGAGGAAGGTTGTGCCTAATATTGAGGAACTTGGTGATGAAGTCGTACACAACAGTACTTCCAGAAAAAAGGCACATCTGTTAACTATGCCATAGACTCAAATCTGGTCTCGCTATGAACACAGCTGGTTACGTTACGAATCACACCAAATAATAATAGTCAGACGTCCTCCACCTGGTCTTGCAACAACGCAGCGTCGTCTTCCTCCTCTTCCTTGATAATATCGTCTGTAACAGCGTGACACAGCTACACCAGTGGATCAGCGATAAATTAAACACCCAGGACGTAATTGAAAGGAGCATATACCTCTAGCGCCCATATCCATGGGAATGAAATCAGTTGTTTCCGAGGGACCTCTTCATCTTGTTCCTCAAGTAAACCTTCATCAGCATACATGCTGCCAGGTGTGCTTCCCCTGTTACTCTCGTTGTGTATATTGACGTATTCGTTCGTCGAGTCTCGTTCGTATGTAACGTGATATGCAGCAATAGCCCATTTTTTCATGTCCCCGCCCTCGCGCTGAGCTTTGACAAATCGCTTTGCATGATTTCGGTACGTACGCCGCAATGCCTCCATTGCCTCTTTGACAGGTCCCTAACGACGGGAGCATAGTAATCAGAATCGAGAATAAGTAGGATAAGCTGTTTCTTACCCGCACAGCGGAGTCACGTTCTCGTTTCTTCTTTCGATCCCCATTGACGGAGACGCCCGCCCACAGCTCTGCCTCACACATGGTGTGTCTGTATTATGTGCGTCATCAGAGTCGTCTTGTGCGACAGAAGAGCACATACCTTCGCATGAGCCCCTCCAATTCAATGTCATAGGCATGTTTGGCCTTCCCTGCTTCCTTCAGGTACAATGTCGGTATCATCATGTTTGGTAACCAGGAGTGTTTTCGATGCACGCCGCTTTCGTTAAGTCTGAAATTAGCATTACTCACCAAACGTTCGAAAGGCAGTACTTACGAGATAGGTATATGCTCTAGAGGTGGCTGGATAAGCCTGTAAAGTTGTCCCAAAACCTTTGGGGACTCGTATCCGCCTTCACGTTGGAAGTCTGGACCCTCGCTGTTTTGAAGATGAAGAGGTATTTTCACAGGCACCCCCGACTTTGTAAAATCGACCGCGTTCGAAGCTAATCGTGCAAGTTCCAAACACTGAGGATCGGACGGTTCAAGCTCGTCAGATTTCGCCTCGTGTATACTCGAAACTAATCCCAGGACATCGGATTTCATGAACTCTGGAAATGTCCGTGTCATAGCGAGAAAACGGAGAAGAGAACGTACGTACCTACAAAGAAGTCACATATATCTTCGACTTCAACGTTCTCCTGCTCATCTGGGATCTCCTCTGGTTCTACAGCAGTATAGTCCATCGGTTCTTGTGGATCCTTGATCCTGAAGGTCTCATCAACGTTGTATACTATGACATGTCTTCAGCCATAGCTCACTGAAGTTCAGGGTCCCATAAAACTGTGAAGAAGTCCCCTAATAGGCAATTAGAACACGGTCTGAATGGGAAAAGCATTCGAGACGCACCGTCCAAGTCGCCTCCAGAAAGTCTATTTACAATGAGCTCATATAAAAACAGCAGAAAAAGTATCGTATACTCACTTAGAGGGAAGATTTCTTTCGCCCACTTGCGTAGAGAAGATGACGACGTTTGTAGGCGGATGGTCCTGCCAGACCTGCGAGGAAAACCGCTCATGGTCGATGGCTGTTGCTAGCTGAATATCACCTGAAATCTAGGGTGTGGACAAAAATAGTCACAAAGACAATCACACTAACCAGGATGGAGGCATGGATTACGAAAGATCGTACATTGCCCAGTAACAACATGCCGTTTGCCTCCAGGCGGATGTACGGCGCAGTATATTTCTCCTGGTTTCAAGACACTACGAGAATTGGTCAGTAGATACCACCATGCGTGAACCAAATTACCCAAATTCGTCCGCGATACCTTGATGGACGAAGATGAGCAAATGGATGGTTTGCGGAGACGAGGCTTACTTACCCATCAAAAAGGCTCCCTCGTTTACTTGGATCCGCTGTTGAATTGGCATTGCTGTTTAGTCTTCCTGCTTCTTCCTGCTTTCCATAAAACGTCCGGAACAACACTCACAGCCCGATATTTCAAATCCTGCAGAAGCTGACACTCTATGCACTTCAGCACATTTCGCAACAGGGGTTCCTTGTTAAATCGGGCCTTCAGCATCTGCAAGATCGGCAGCTCCGAAGACTTGTAGAGTTTCCTGGCCATATGCTTTGTATCGTCTAACCGCTCAATGTGCAATTCAATATTCTTGATATTCCTAATCTGGACCTGCATCATCCGGACAAAGACTTCGTCGGGCACGCCGAGATGAGATAGAAGCGAGATGGCCTGGCGATTGAGGTGGGCATGTGAGTGGGTGGATATCTAACAATGTTAACTATAACGGATCTCTCGGTAAGGGGCGCGACCTACTTTCATTACCCCCAATTCAGTGTTGCGGCTAGCAAACTTTCTCATGGAAGGGCGCACCCTCACGTGCGTTCCTCGAAGGCGAGGAAGGACGGATAAAACGCCTTTATAGCTACACACGAGGCGCGTTAGCGTCTTCGAGGTGCCAGATGAAACTGTTGAGCGCACCCTCCCATCCGTATTTGAACCGCCGATGGAGATGTGGTATTTCCAAGAGCTTTGGCGCACATCTCAGCAAGCTCGACGCTACAATTCCCCACGCCGTCAGTGTAGTTGCTATGATACTGTGACGACACTTCGCTGAAAATGAGACAGACATGCTCACTATCCATGATGCTCGATGTCTGGTATTCTCTCTTTCGACGTTATGTCGCAGACCTTCCTCGTAGCGCTGAAGCATAAACCCATCCTACTAGCGTACTTGGCAACTTGACCCTCGTGAGATTGAGGCGCCACCAGGCCAATCAAACACTCACCAATGCGGATATGTCCAAAGTTGCCCATATGCTGACGGACAATGTCTGCAGTGAATCCGCGATCCGGCTCTTCGTGAATCATCCAACAAGAATGTTCCTTCAGCTGTGACTCGCCGGCGGCAAGAAAACTTTCCCCTTGTTCAGATCCATATGCTGTAAAAGAAGAGAACAACATACACGTAATGTCGTGGGCCAATTTGTATGCCTTCCTCAAGAGCAATGCGTATCCGTGCAAGAACTCCCGTGCGTGGATTCTGTGTGAGTGTGAGTGTTTACGTTCAGCCATACAAAACAGAATAGACTGACATCATCGTCGCTTCGTTGCAAAAGCGCGTTGATCCGAAGTTTACCATTTTCGTCCCCAAAACTGTGTGATAAGGAAGTAATGGGAAGATATAAAAGTCCCTAGACAAACCTCACGCGCAAAAAGTTGTCCTGAAACTCTGCCCAATGTCGAATGACCCTATTGCTGGTCTCAATCGTCGCTGGAAAAAGCAGAATTCGAGTCGGGGTGACGTGGACACGTCTCATAAAAATACGATCCGACAGAAGATCAGTCGGAAAACCAGCTTCGTTGGTCGAATGGCCAGCCTGAGTGATATGGACGACCTCTGCGGCCTTGACCTGTTGCTCCGTTTGAGATTCATCTAGGCGTTCTAACCGAAAAAGGGCACGGAGAACCCTAGGAGCATTGAACGAGAACCGTAGGTGGTGCCTCAGTTTGCTGACTGAGGAAAGATAAGTCTGTGTTTGTCAGGAGACGAAAGGTGCTCACCGGAATCAGCGTGCGGCAAGAGGATGCCATGAGAGACAAGCCCGAGGAACAAGTATTGACACTCAAAGGAGTTCGGGTGGTCCTTGTATTCGTGTCTTAAATAATCGGCAATGGTATTTATTGTTGAAGGAGATGTCTGGATGACCCTGATGGGATCATAATCCACTGTTGTTCGAGCTTCTTCCCCGCGTTCCAGCGTCCGTAACCGATCAAGAGTATGAAGAACGCTGTCTCGTGCTCTCTTGTCCAAGACGGCAGTAAACTGATATGTCCTCCAAAGTCCAAACTTGATGAGGCGTCAGTGTTAATAATTTAAAGCGAACACGAAGGACCAAGCACCTTCATCGGGGCTTTCCGCCGGTCCCCGCAAGGGAGTGGAGACAAAGGCTGAAAACAGTGTTCATCCTTGGGTATGGCATTATTCCAGTCATCCTCGGTAGCCCGCCGAATGTGAACCCCAGGCGGTAGCGGCTCGTCACGCGGATACAGGTGCTTCCAATCAGCTTTGATATGGGGAGGCCTAGAGAATGTGATGGTCAAAGTTACGTGTTTGAAGTCTCCACTGCGTGGATCATTATTGTATATGACCTTCTCGATGTCACAGAGTTTGCTGGTGCAGAGTAACACTTGAAAATACGGAGCGTCAAAAAGGGCGCGGCCAAGAGATTGCCTAATGCTTGCCAGGATAGTCGTCGTAATCGAATCTTGCTTTGAAGAACATTTCCTGTTTCGATAAGAATTTAAATAAGAAATGAAAGTAAGAAGCAGGCAACATACTTGCTTCCCGAAATTCAGAGAGAGCTGAGCATGCTCCAGATTTTTTGTTTGAAATCCAGGCATAAAGTGAGTCGGAGGACCCCTGATAAATCCCATTCCGAACGTATCTATCCCTATCCGAAAAGCTAATATGCGGATTTCTCAGAGAAGAAAAAGGGCGTGATAGCCTGACTGCTCACCGTCTTTGGGCTTTTCTCCTTCACCGTGGGTGCTGGGAGCCTGGAGGTCTGCATTATTTCCGTCAAACTGTATTGAATTTAGGAATTCCTCAGCCATGAGGGCATTCGAAATGAGGGGAAGGAAGAAAGGGGCAAAGCGCAGTATTTCAAATCGAATGACGATCCCTTACCCTCTCCCTGCAACGACACCTGTGCTATTTTTTCCTCCTGCAGCTAGGGCTACCACCAGGACATCCTGTCCAGATCATTGCAGAGGTAGGCGCAGGCGGGAATGACTCTCTAGTACCAGCCGAGTGTGCACCATACACCATATCGACGAAAAGTCGACTGCAGATTTTTTTCTACATTTTTGTCCACTTTTAGGAATGGCGAGGGACAACGAAGATATCATACCGAAGGCACTAGTCCAGGTCGTCGAGCTTATCCTCTTCAACATCCGTCAATATGTGGTTGCCGCAGAAGATTTCTAAGGTAAGTCAAGATGGCCGCTTTGTTTCCGGTGGTATCCTTTTGTATCTTAATATACTCAGCTCCCTCCAAAAAATGATCGTAGACGCTCCCTTCCCCTTTATCGATAGGATCCGAGCGCTACATCAATCGATGGGCAACGGAACGAAAATCTTCCCGTCAACACCAGCTCTTCAGGAAGAAAGTTTAAACAAGGTCTCGCGATACGATCAAGGAGAACGGAGAAATCTTGCGGGTACAAGTTGGCGCAGCGGTTCTTGTCAAGTCCCACAAGGTCTACACGAAGCTCCTTACCATGTCAAGAAGTAAAGTTTTATGACTGGTCACAGAATTTGACGATACTTGGATCAAACCAACAAGTACAATGAAGGGTACGTTTCTTTTTACCGCACGGAGTTTTGCTGGCTCAAGGTCATAAGGAAGCGATTGTCACCGGGGCTATCAGCGATCGGGTTGGATTTTTAACTTCAATATGTATGAGAAGTTTCGGCGACCTTGCTTCAACGAGCCACAAATTGGACGCCCAATATTAGGCGCTAGCATCTTGGATGATTACAACAGCTCCAAACCTTAAACCAGTCTTTTATGGCCGAGAGGGAGGATACTGATCTGTCATCACTCCCCGACCTCCAGCGTGTATTTCGTAGGTGATTCTTAGAAACCCGCAAAAAAAACAGTTTGCTAAGCTGATGAAGAAGAATACAGATCAGCATGAACGACTCCTACGGCAAACAGAGGATCGTATCAGATGCTGTTACTACTAGGCAATTCGGTATACGAAACGGAGAATTTGGTCAAAGGTAGAGACGCTGCCACAGTCTAGAATATGTCGATGAAGAATCTCAGTCCCATAGACCACATCAGGAATCAATCTCAGCAAGCACGGCGTTTGCCTCTTCTTCTAATGGATGTCTGATTGTGTGTATCATTTTGCCTGATTCTTACTTCTTACTTAATGTTATCAGCTATATTCATAGCGAGACTAGACTTGAATCTATAGCACAATCAACAGATAGGCAGTAACTATCCGATTCTCACGTCTGAGATCGCGTCAGTAAGCCCTCAGAAAATCCATAAATGTTAGATCGGTGCCAGTCAGCTGCGTAAAATAGATGGATTCAGACCTGCAAGTGTGTACTTGGTTCTCTTTAGGGACACGGCGGATTGCTTCTTAGGGTGAGGCATCATCTTCAGTACAGCTGTAATGCACCGATGTTTACCGTCGGATAGCTGGTAGTCGGTGCTTGATGATGAGAGACGTCAGTTCTTGATGTGTGCGCTTGGTACCAAATACATTTAGAGGCTTCTCCACACCTCCCTGAATGTCATGGTGCGCTACAGGCCATGCTACATCGGTACCTGGATGGTATATTCTCGTCCTAGTGGTTGTTCCCACCAAGGTACTGCCCTGGGAATCCACTTGAGAAGATCAAACTCCTCAAAAGCCTGGCCCCCTTCTTGCGCCAGCCTACAAACCCGGTAAACGCTATCCCGCTTTAGCAAAGTGTCTCCCGAGGGGAAGTTTTCTTGAATGTTAATGCTGAACTGTCGCACCGGGGTCTTCTCGTTTCCGCACTTACCGGACGTGCTAAAGAAGCATATAATGTGGTCAAACAGGTCACCGAACATTACGGCGTCCGTTTCTGTGAACGTAGGAAACTCATATCCATTCGACAAACTTGCTCGTAACACCGTAAAGCAACAGTCCGATTCGGGGGAACGAGCGTAGAGTTCCCGTAATGCCCTTCACCACTAACTCCAAGGAAGTATTCAGTATATATCTTCCGGATGCCAGGTGATGGGTCCAAGGAAGCCATCAACTTCAGTCGACAGATCAAGGCAGCAGCATCGCAGTGTTCTTCATTAGATTAACAGCCACGGGGAATGGTTGAACAAGGTAGTATGGTGAGCCTACCAAGCTATAGAGTGGTAGACTGATCACCGTGACAAGTGCAAATTAGTTCTAGTATCGTGTCGCGTCAGATAACGGCACTACCTCGGAGGTTCTGTAGTAGTGCCGGCGAAACTAACATTAAGAATCCTGATCCTAAGTCTGTTTCAGATAGCGGGTCCGCCTAAAAATTCTTCCAATGTGATCGTCGAGAGAAGGGAGGGAGGATATTTATTCTTGAGACTCGCAGGAAGCCACAAAAGACCGAAGTATGCACTGCGGAATAATATAGTGATATCCATCGCCAGAGAGCTTGGCCAGAGTACAATCCAGACTTTATTTCCCATCAGAAGCTGCCAGTCGTTGCTGAGGAAGCCCTGCGATCCGAAACATGTGTTCTATCTTGTGCTCCTATCGGACCCACTGAGAAGAACCGTCCCGCTGGCAATAGAACAAAATTACATTCCAGAGGGTTCATACAGTGAAGTAAAGAGAAGTTGAAAGACGGGATGACGAAGCATAAAGGAATGCGTCTCAACTCGGGCCGGATCCTACCGACGCATTTGTGGCGGTGCAGCTGCCTCAAAGTTTAATTACTACTTAATTTTCAGGCCTGGAGTGACGCAAAATGGTCGTTTCCTCGACTTTCCAAATCAAAATTGGCTCGAAATTTGCTTCTCAGGTTCTGATGATCTGAACTGACAGGTGTATATGATGATCAAAAGGTTCGCTGATGCTACATTTCGGTAAATTATCTAACCATAAGGGCTGTTGCTCTATGCGACTTCCTTCAATAGAGACTCAAGTTTTCTTTTGGGGTTCGGTCTATATAACTGTTCCGTTCAAATCGACGTGTAACCCTGCTCCTTGGTAGCTCTGTCCAGTAAAGATGAGTGAAACAACCTCCACTGCAGCTCCTGACAATACGGTATTCAACATGCTCTAATCGAATTACAATCGATACTCAGTCGTTCGATACAGATGGGAGCGCTTCTCATATGTACAGTGTATGAGGTCTTCCGTCCTTCACTGAGTATTTCTCATCTCATGGCTTGTCTCAGAATTTCAGCATGGTAGGCAATTTGATGAACGTCTAGCGCTGCGAAGCCTCATCAATCTCGGCACTCTAGTTTTCAGGGAGTAACAGTGCTCTGTTCTTGGGAATACTTTGTAGTACGTATCCTTTACCAGTCCCGCTCTTCTTCATATTCACTGCCACAGGATCACAACAAAGATCAAGCTATCACCAAAGTTCTTGTGGGTGTCGCTTGTCTAAGCTGTTCCTATCCAAGGTTAATTGACCTCTCGCAGGTTTCAGTGGTGTGGTAAGTACGGTCGTATCATGAATTTCCAGTGGCTGTAAAATCACCGCATCTAGCTTTATCGATACACTCCATCAAATTTTCATCACGCATGCCCTTTATATATACTTGGTGAAGGGATTCTCCGATCCGGCAATAATGCTGCGACTACTTTGGCGAGTTTTTTTTTTTTCATTCTTGATTGCACCTCATTTACGACCCGGCTATAGGAGCTTCCTTTCGCAGGTCGTCCTCACTGTGAGAATCCGCACATTTCTAAAATTTAGCCCATCTCCATTCATCATTTTTCAAGGCGTTTCAAGGGCTTCTTTGCCAGGGGTAGGTGCCTATGTTTCATGTTAGATCATGGCCTCATTCATCGCCGTTAGCTTTTTTACATGGAGAGTATGGATAGGCACGTATTTGATTTCTGTGAATGAAACTCGTGCTTGCTGATGACGTACTCCAGCGAGCCAGAAGAACAAGCCTTTGAGTGCCATAATTGTGAGGGTAAATATGTACACCTCTGGCTTTGTATTGACTCGGTGCAGGCAGCTCTAGTAGCCGGAAACTTTGTGGTCACTCTTTGCAAGTAATTTTCTAGCAAATGTTTTTCTGGGCTTTGACGCTTTCCTTTTGAAGATTATTTTGGTAGAAGGTGGGCTTCTTTTCGAGTGCATGTCCGTCGATACTCATGCAGGATATAGTGTCCACTTCAAGTCATTAGCAGAGCTCTTGCAACAAAAGGTATCATCGATCCGCGCTACTTCGACGTTGCTTGATCCCCTGCGTAGGACACTGCAATGCTGCTAGCCATCGGATATAGCGCCAACCTCGTACGTTTGCCGTAATTCTCTATGACGACGTCCCGACGCTTTTGTAGCTCATCACAGTGTCCCTCCTTTTCATTGACTTCAGAAAGACGACCTCAGGTGAACAGTGAGCTACCATGTTCACTGTTCGAGAGTTAGTACTGATCTCTGTTCATAAAGAACGAACCGCGTTGTCGACAAATTCAAGTCGTGTGTCATGAACAGCGGCTTGTTGATAAGGTGCCCATAATGACATTGAGTTTTGCGTTCCGCACAAAGCTCATATAAGCCAAGCCTCGTCGGGGTCTTTTGTTTTGTTACAGAGGTATATTGAATATCCTTCTTTTTGTCCGCGATTTTTCACGCTCGTATAGGCTGCTTGGCCCCAATCTCTGCTTTCTGCTGCAATGTACACCCTTCTTTGTCGAAGTACGTCTTGCTTTTTTCTTTTCTTCGCAGTACGGAACTGACTGTGCCCTTAGTGTATAGTGTTTCTGTCTTGGTAAGAAATGATGATGTTGAAAGTCAATTCGGTTTAATAGACACGATCCTAGGCCATCTTGAATTCGCGGAAGCAACTTGGGTCTTCGAGTTCAAACAAGCAGAGTTCGTCTAAGGAAATTATGCCAAATGGATCCCGTAGACCTCGTATCCAAGTCGCCAGGGTGACTACTTCTTTTTATTTCGTGCTTCAGTCTGCTCATGGAAGGTTAGCCCGGTGAACTCGCGATTCATGTAGAATGCGATACACAGATGCAATACGACAACATGGAGTCACCGGCACGTCCACTTCCCATCTGCTTTTCTCAGCTCACTTACGAATATCTATAGCAAAGTCATAAGGAGGGAGAGACGTTTGAGCTGACACCCTTTCCCAGGAATAAATAACTTTATCCGGCTGTTAGCATCCTTTCTTCCTCGCTGTATCTGATGTTAGAACGGCGGACGGGTATGCAATATAAATATGGTGCATCTGCTTCCTCAACTAAGAATGCCTGAGCCTGGCCTCATTCAATGTAAGGTCAGTAGGCACGTACAACGCAAATCTCTCAGTTGGAGTATGCAGAAACAAAACCGTGGCTAGAGAAGTGGTCCATGTAGTGCGGTCCTCATGGGCACTTTACAGCAGTTCATAAAAAAGCTGATGGGGAAAGGACAACTTTCTCATTTTCAACAGAGTTATACCTTTCCGGCTTTTTCAAACGATAAGTAGCTTTTCCTTCTGCGCATTTCTCTCGAAGTCTTGGTCTTCATCGATGCATCACCGGTCTTTCGTTTCACGCTCCCTAGATCCTGATCATCTATCCGATAAGCAATTATATAAAACACAGCCAAAGAACTGCAGATTTCGCTGATTTTGATGATACACCGCAGATGTGATGGTAATGATCCCTGTAATGCAAGACTAAACGCCGAGAGGTGGGCATTAGGCAAGGAATACCATTTAGGAGTGAACTTTCTCCCCGCGCACAGCCAGAGCTATATATGCATTACATACATTCAGAATGTATTCAAAGAGTCAGTATGGTCCTTACATCGAGGGTAGCGGGCCTTGCCGCTTGTCGGCCGGCCTTAGTTAGTGGACTTTGAAAATAGAAATGATGGTGCGGGCAACGGCAAAAGCTATTGGCCTTCAAGATGATCAAGGTGATAATCAATGCCCCTCAACAGTAATAATTTCGTTAACATCTCAATCCTGTTCATCTCGCCGATATACTAGGACCTTTCAGCTGATACTATTTTGTTCCGTGGTATGCTATTAAGCCCTCTCTGTCCTTGTTCTATTAAAAGGGACTTCGTTCCAATACCAAAACACCATCCACGAATTCCATCGACATGTCGAGAGGAACACAACCTCCTGACCTCTCAAGTGATGATGTTCAGACAATATTCGAGGCAATAAATGTTTTTCTAGACGAAACCATACTCTATGCATTTTGCTCTGGTATGTCTTTCCGAATAGCGCTCGTCGAATAAATTCGATTTAAACCATGCGTAGGAATTTATACGGGCGTCATCGTTGTCACTATGTGGAGCATTTGTCAGTTCAATCTCAATTACTACTGGCACTTACCTGCCGTCGCTAACATGATGGCGCAGTATCTGCGAAGACCACTTCACACAGACTCATGGGGAGCTATGCTATGATAATTGTCATTCTGACCCTTTATGTCCTGGACATGATATCCTTCTCGTTCTACTGGCATTTTCTCTGGCACACTTTGGTAGATGAGGGCTGGAATTTTTGGACCGAGTTTCTAGAACTCCAGATGAACACTCCTACGTCCGTGAGGGTGTTGTGGATTACAAGTGTAACCGGAGGAATCAGCACTATTCTCGCCGACATGTCAATGGTTCGTCATCTTTGACCACTCCTTTTGCATGCAAAACTAAATGGCTTGTAGATTTGGAGATGCTAGACCGTGTGGGGACGGAGATGGTTAATCGTCCTTCTCCCCATTCTCTGCTCTCTTGCTGGAACAGGTATGCATACGTGCCAGAATTCTTCTTCCATCCCAATGCTCATAGATGATGAAGCTTCGAAGGTCATGCATGCATATCTTCAGTTGCACGACACATTCAGCAATGTTCAGAATGCTGAGACCTATGCTAGTCTAGCGACATGGACTATTGCCTATCTATCTCTATGTCTGTCAACAACGATGCTCTCCACGGTTCTCATCATATTTCGGATCCTTACTGTTTGCAGGACAATGCACGGAGGGACGGGTCTCCGGTCATATAAAGGTGCCCTGGAGATCCTTGTGGAATCATTTTTGCTCTCCTCCACCATTAAGCTAGTATACATAACACTTGTGGTTCGTGACAGCACGGGAGGGGAATATGTCGACATTCTATCTGGTGTAGCAAAAGTACGTTTTCTTCCTTCATTTGGCCACCAAGCAATCATGCTCGCATTATTACAGGGAATAGCACCTACACTCATCGTTGGACGAGTTGCTTCGGGACATGCTCGCCCAGACGATTCTTGGAGCGTAAGCATCGCGTCATCGCTTCGTTTCGGAGGTCATCCCGCCAACCAGAGTCACGGTAGTAGTACGGATGAAGAAGTTGGCGGGAGTTACCTCGATGATTATGAACATAGAAATCGCACTAGCAGCGAAGTTCCTGGAGGCCAAAATGAGCCATCAGAAGGATCCGTAGCAGCAGATGGAAGTACGACGGAGAATTAATTTTACGCATTGGACTTGGAAGTTGGCGTCGATCATCGCCAGGCTGTTTTTGTTCGAACAGGTCTCTCCTGACTATTATCACTACCTCTCCACCTTCATAAATATTAGTAGATATGGCTGCTGTGTTTCACTCTCGGGTTTAATGCCTACGTATGTATTTCCTTGTCCCTCAGATAATTCCATGAGGAAGTCCGAATATCAAGCACAAACAAACTGATGATGACTCGCATGGAGCTTTCGAACACTAAGGAGAAGATACACTTGGTCTAGGCCACCTGGACTAAACATTAGGCAGCATAGCAACTCGATAAGATGATTCACAGCAGTAAAGGCACGGGATACATTTGCTTTGATTCCCATACCCTGACGTCATTCTTCCGAAGTTCGATTGTGTAGAACGGCAAAACGAATGCATCGTGCGTTCCTGCGGAATTTGATGAAAAGGTGCACTTCTGGGGCATACGAATATATATTCCCGTTTGGCTTGATAACAACGTCCGAACAAGCTCGATTAATCATGCTCTGAAAAAGCGTTTATGGACCCTCGCTTTCCTAGACAGTGGCAGTGAACCTTAGACCACCATTATTCGGAGAAGACTTCCCTTTGGCTATCTTACAGATCCAGTCACTTCGAGTTCTTGGGCACCTCGGATAGGGACATGTAGTTTTTAGATCTGAGTATATGTGTGAGGCTGAGATGGAAATTTGTGCCCATGCATCGCACCATGCTTCATGGATCTGCGTTTTGACTAGCTCTGACCCCTATGGATGCAAGGTTGCCAATCGAATGACGAATCAAAGCTACTTTGGCGACGCATCGTGAGATCTGTGTATACTGGAGACACCAGGAAAGAGACTGACCAAAGACGTCAACTTTCATGTATAAGCCAGTTCGCTCCAAGTATCCCAAAATTGTTATCGCCAAAATCCTAGGGCGTCTGCATCATCGGAACGAAATATTGTGATAACAATGCCTCATCCGCCTCAGCTTCGATCTCATATACCGGAATGAACTTGTGAACCTACGGTCACCACGGGTCATGCTCCAACGTCCTATTTTGCCAATTCATCGTCATGCAGTACTCAATATGAGCTGGGAACCAACCGGCGTGAGTGAATACCAAAGAGTGGGACTTAGCGTACATTCGGTAGTTATGGATAGGTCTACCCAGAACTGAACAGATCCGAGTGTCAGAAGGAGGCGGTATAGAACGGATTTCGCAGACATATTTTGCAAGCTATTCGACGATGATCTTTTTGGATTCGTCCCGGAGATCAGGCCAGATGGTAGCCAGGCACTCCCCTGGTATAAGTTGCACAACGATATAATTAAGCCTCTTCCACCGAAAGTACAGCCAGACTTTAGGAACCGGAACCGACCAAGTTTTGATTTGAATACTGATTTTCCACCTAAGAAATCTTTGATGGAGGCGCCATAGCGGATGATTCTTCTGGCGTCGCAAGTGCCTCTGAAGTCAACTCTGTGCATCAGGAGGCGCACGGAGTCCAAAGTAGTCGATAATGAGGATAAACGTGTTCATGCTCAGGTTGGTTGCAGTGGGGAAACGGCACGGCGTTTACCGGCGTCATTCAGTAACATTGTCCCTCACGAAATCCCAGGCTTAAGCATGAAAATAAGTTATGAAGTGCTCAAGAAAACATACTTAACTTACAAGGATAAAGAATGGGAATGCAGAAGGATTTACAAACCAAGGCCTAGACCAAAAATAATTACACATTACCAAATGTTCTGTCAAAAACTGAAATAAAACCGTTCTCATGACAAGAATAACTAGCAAAAATAATCATACAAATGCGTTTCTTTCCCAAGGCTCAAGCACTATGTCTTCTGAATTCCAAGCTCGTGCGATACAAGCCTTGAATGGATGCCAAGGCCTGCCCAACATCAGGCCTCTCCTGCGGATCATCCGCCCAGCAACGCTGAATAAAATCCCACTGTGCGTTGGTGACGAAGGATGGCGCAGGCCGCCGCGGTTTCTTGCCGTTATGCAGCTCGATAACAACCTGGGCGTCCGTGCGGACATAATGGTACGGGATGCGGCCTGACAAGATCTGGGAATGTCCCGGTTAGATTGACTTGGATGGGTAGCTCCACTCACTTCTAGAGTAACGCTGCCGAAAGAGTATATATCACTCATAGTTGTGAGTGATGTCACCCTATCGTCCTCATCGTCTCCCAGGAGAATTTTGAACAACGAGGCGTCGGCCCAGCGCACAGCTCCGCTGACTCCGGACGTCATGCAAGATGTCCCGTCAAACTCAGCGACAATACTTGACAATCCAAAGTCTCCCAGGAGCGCCTTCCCTTGATCGTTAATCAAAACGTTCGACTAAAAACCCACCCAGGTTGAATTAATCCCCCACTGAAGAGCAATAGACTGTCTTCACGTACCCCGGTAAGATCTCCATGTACAATGTTGAAAGAATGTACTAGATTGTGAAAATTAATAATAGCAATAGGCCTCGCAGACTAACTCACAATATTTTAACCCTTCTACTACCCCGCACAACTACAAGATAATTAGCGCTGTACAGCTTCGAAGGGAGACATTGAAACCCCACAAGCTGTAAACGATCTGTCATGGAAAGGAGATCTCCGCATCGTTCCATGTACTGGGTTACGCACCCATTATCCAACCATGGGCAGATCATAGCGTCGTATCGACCAAAATCTGATACAACCCCAAGTAACGGAAGGATATTCGGGTGATCCAACTTTTTCCACATGTTCAGTTCCCTCAAAAGCCGCTGGACGTAAAATTAACAGCGCTGAATAAATAGTTCGAGAAATAGATAAACACCCACCAACTTCATCTTCTCTTTCATCTCCGGGTTGTCTCCGCCGGAGCGCAGAACTTTGATGGCGACCTGTGACAAAAGTTAGATTTATACGAGATGAAAGGAATTTACCTTACCGTTCGTTCGCGTAGTCCGTCCATCCATAATCCTTTCCATACATCGGAGAATCCTCCGTGGGCTTCAGGGAATCGGCCTTTTCGCGTGACTTTGCCAGTCAAATCCAGTAAGATTGTTGGATCATGCTCATCGACTGCACCGAGGACGTCATAAAGGGTGTTTTATTCTTGAAAAAAGATGTACTCACGAGTATCCAATTCCGGAGGTGGTGTAGGTGGCGGATCGAAATGTAGGCCCAGAGGAGTAAAATGGGTCTCCTCCGATAAAGGGCTTATGGGGACATCTGAAGTGCCGTTGAAGAGAGTAGGTAACAAGCCTGGGCTCAACAGAATATCGTTGTTCCCAAAATTTTGGCGGATCAATGATGAAGACTCTGATTGAGGTCCTTTACGGGCAATGATACTCCATGGTCTAGGATGCGATCTCCGTCGTCCGCCAGCATCTTCATCTTCTGTTCAAAATGTAATTAAGCCAGTCTCGGATCTATGAAACGAACATGACATACCAGAAAGGAGAGAGACATTATCAAGACTATCCCTGGAGCACGACTCGTCAACGATGGCTTCAGCGAAGAGTCCCAGCATCGAGCACCATTGCTCATTCTGAGAGGAACAGATCGTGTTGAACTCCAAAACACGGGCGTCTGTCCATTCAACTGAAAAGGATTGAGGACCTGTAATACAGACCATGTCAAGAGCGCTAGTCGGAATAGCATGGACGAGATTTAAGAATGACTTCTCCCTCAGCCCAGGACCCAACTCCCATGCTTTAGTGGGATATTGCGCTGGCAGGCGATCCCCCGCACCATCCAAGCAGCACAAGAGCATCGTTTCGAACAAGAAGACGGCGTATCGTACTCCTGAGGCCTCCACGAGGACATCATCGAGAAGAAGAGACCCGAGGGAACCGGGGTCGATCTCACTGTCCCAGAAGTATGCCCGCGCCTTGAGGATCTGCGTGGCCCGCATCGAACGTATCTGTCGACTCATCTCATCGATGGTATCCGATGACTCGCGCATTCGAAAGACGACGGTACATAGAGAATCATAAGACGGATGTTCGGCTGGGGAAGACACCTGCAAGATCGCAGTGAGGAAAAACCAGTACTCGGAAATTCTGGAAGGTAGTTGGCTGAGAATGTTGAGAAGGGTCTGAGCATGAATCTTTAGCGCCGGATCAAGGAGGTGCAGCTGATTCCGGAGGAACTCGAACATGGGGAGGTAGTTTACGCATATGGACCGATACGCGCTGCTCGTTCTCGTTTTGAACGATATATGTTCCGAGTTGAACATTACAGTCCAGTTCTCCAGCCAAGGAGCAGTGACGACATTCTCCAAGAAAGATAGGACTCTATCGTGATATTCACGTAGATGGGTACGATTGATGAGAAGGCACTCTAGGGCTGGATCAACCAAGCCTGTCGTTTCTGACATCATCAATACAGATTCCTATCAATGCAATGTTAATAAGTGATAGACATCTACATGTGAAGCTGGCGCAACGTACCGAAACCATACCCAAGTTGCACACATGAGCCCGCTCAGTATCCAGCAAATTTTGCACAAAAGCTTGGCGCTGATACTGCGACCGGTAAGGAACGACGAATAGTCCTGGATAGGACCCTTGTAATGCGCACAGAATGCTCTGTACTGTTTTCAACACCTGTCGCATACAATGAGGAAGACTATAGTTATACATAAACCACCCACATACCTTCGCAAACCCAGGATTCGACCTCCCAAACATATCATCAACACGAATGACCTCCCCATATGGGAGTAAGCCCCGTATCTCCAGCAGGCGCACATGATCAATGAACTTTGCAAAGAACGCGACTCGCTCGTCCATCGACAGTTCAAACTCAAACGCGACGGGATGATACGGCGGCGACAAGAGGTTCAAGAGTGTACATGATGGCGCCCCCAGCGAGAAACACTCCCACAATATGCGATACGCCTGGTTGGGCTCGCTGCACCGTGTTTCACGGGCGAACCATGGCTTGAATTCGACAACCAGTAAGAGTCGGCTCAGGATCCGAAAGCTGTCAAGCCGCAGCTGCTCGGAAGGTGCCCTGGGTGGCGATAAGATACAGCTCATTCAAGCATACGTGTATATGGGAAAAGAGAGAATGGGGAAGGGCCTATCAGGCGGACAGCCACAAGTAGTACACAGGTAGTAGCACACTACCCTGCAGGGGCAGCACAGCCTGTGCTTAATCAGACATCGGAAGGAAGTCGGAGGGATTAGTGCTGGATTAGTTCATTGAGTATCCAGTAGCATCACAAGCAAGAGAAAGACACATATCTTTGTCGGTGACTCCGAAAATTTTGTGTCATTCCATGTGAATTATTGCTCAGCTGGAATTCCTGGCACCCCAGCTAACCGCGCAATCAGCAAACGGGAGCATAAAGCAAAAATCATACCTGAGAAAAATAATTGACCAGGTGACCAAGACAAAGTACTGACCTAGTCAGCTCACAGTGAAGTAGAGTACAGCATGCATAAATATCATCGGTAATAACAAGACAAATCAAGTGTAAAAGAGTGTAGAGATATGTATCCAACGAAAAAGATAGACATACAAAGAGGAGATCCCAGGAATCAATAAGTATATGGAGCAGTAGGTACCACCAAAGGGCTACAACCTCTTCAGGGCCTTTTTTCTCTTTTCCGCACCTGTGACACCGGGCCCGGTGGCGGCTCGCTTCACCGCTTTGGTTCCCGTTACAGGTGTACTCCCCGGTATACCGACCCCAACTTTGGCGACATTCGCGTCGGCAGTGCCTAAAGGCAAAGGAGAGGTATGCCGTTCTTTGCCGACGGCCGGCGTTCCCAGTTTACCAACAGCGACGTTGGATGGCGACGCTGTCAACGGCCTGGGGTGAGTCGTCGGAGCCGGAGAGGCTGACTTACGCGTTACAATGGGCAGGGTAGGTACAGATGACACTGCGGATGAGATTGATAGAGGTTTCGCTGGTGTTGATGAGTCTAGGGCTGGAGATGAAGGGGATAAGGATTCGGTTGTCGCTGCTTCTGAAACCGATGGGGGGTCGAACTCCGCTGGTCGGACGCGTGGTGTTGCATGAACGCTGGTGATGAGTTTGGCTCGGTCACAATAACTTTGGTAATTCTCCAGCAGAAGCTTGCCGGCCTCCTCGTCAAGCGCTGATTCAGGATTGGGGTAGATAAGCAGGCACTTGACGGTCACCAATATATGGCCAATGCCGTAGGTTGGTTTCCAATCTTTCTTGAGTGTGTTTACACAAATTTCTCCCGCCGCGGATACGTTGGGATGAAAGATCTTGGTGGCGAACCAGCCTGCAAGTAAATTCGATAAAACCTTTCGAAGACAAGAGGATAGGCGACGTACATTTGGGTGGCGCCGCCGGGAACTCTTCTGTAAAATTGAACTTCACCTTAAAGTACCCTCCAGCGTAAGGTGTGCCCTCTGCGACATACAGGTCAGTTTCTGAGCCACCAGGAGCGTATCTCGAAAAACGCCCAAATACGTAAATGGACTCACCTGGGCCCTCGATGAGACCTACAACGTCTAGCATATCGTCATCACTGATTTGAACGCGAATTCCTTCTGGTGGACTCTTCTTGAGCTCCAACAGCTCGCGCATGAGACGTCGGAGTGCGGCAGGTGGCACAGACTAGAATGGGCCAAAAATACTAAGTATTTTGAGAGCATACAGGCAGAACAGTGACGCACCATAGCTCTTGACAATAGGGAAAGAGTAGAATGGAGAGGGGTGGCAGTGGTTCAAGTCCAACTCACAAACATTACCAAATCAAGGACGTATCGAGGACGTATGTCCTTCCACGTGATCAGCCAGCAAGTAAACCCAAAATGGCAGTCCACCTTCTAAACGGAGAATGATCTCCCCCTTTGACGCCAGTCGACTTGGAAGTTCACTCCCTGCTAGTGGGATTGTGAATAACTTTTTGACACGCAGGATGATGAAGTCCTGTGCTCCACTCACTCACTCACTCCGAGGTACCCGTTCTGGAGAAACAGCAGCAGCCGTTATCAGTGAGTGCACACCGGTCATTTCATTTCATTAACGGATACAGGTTCTGGATTCACTATAATTACCCTCGTATAATTGAACAAGGAGATCCGTAACTATAAACAGCGGAACAACGCCCTTCCTTGACAACAAAGTCGGGCCATGGAGACGGTCACCTGACGGTCGCGACACACGTACGCGTCAATATTATATAGGACTTGGCAGTCAGGGGCCAGCAAATCCAGGCCTCATTATAGTTAATAGCGCTAGGCTTAGCTTTCTCTCGGTGGGAACAATCTATTACGCCGGGGCAAGAGAGCGCCCTTCAAAGATCCTGGTACAGCTGCAACTTTTATTTAGCCTTTGCCACAACAACCGGAGAGAAAGAGCTGTAGGTAAAGGGCTAAGAATTCATCGAAGACAGCTATGGCGGGCCGCGCGGCTCCGGCTCCCACCTTTATTTGAACTTCATTGACAACTTGTGTAATGGCAGAAAAAAAGGGAAATCAACAGTTCTGCGGAATTTCTGTTTGTAGAGGGAATAAAGGCAGCCTTGCTGGTCCCTTCGGAACTACAGAGCTCTTCTCGAGATCAGTGTGCATCTAGAACCAGGTTGCGTCTCGCCTTCAATTTTCAGATCATAAGTCCATCGTTCCTCGTTTATTTACAGAAGGATTCATCAGCTAGAGTATTCGAGCGCCAAATCATGCTTGTAGTCAATACTACCGCCGCTCCATCAAAGAGTCGAAAACTTCGTCAAAGTGTTTCAAGTTCGCTGCAAAGACACGAGCTGTTCAGTGAAGATCATTCAAAATCAAGAGTACACAAGGCCCCATTCCGACCTCTCGTGACGTTCCTCGGCTTAATGTCATAGTGATAAAGCCCTAGCGGAGTGAAGAGCATTCGCTTGCTCCCAAACAGTTCAGCCACATTCACGGCCAGTGAGAATCAAGTTAACAATTTATCCCAGACGCTCACAGTTCCTGCACGCTCATCCCCGCTTCGCCCTACGCGATACAATGGAAGGCTTCTCCTATGTCGCTCAAGATCACAGCACCTCAAGATTCATCAAGCATCACAAATATACCATAATACAAAGGGGCGACGTCGTCCAACTGGTGACGAGAGAGAAGCCGATACGCACGAGTTTCCTTGTCCATAGCCTCAACGTGGCGCTGGGGGTACACCTTGACGACGATAGAGATGACGGTCTCTCGGCTGTCCATAACCGATCCGCACCATACCTGTGCGAAATTACCAATAGTAATGCGCTGGAAGACATGCACATCTGAGCCGGGAAGATGAATAGTCGAAGGAGCTGGTGGAGAGGTATCGTCCGGAGAATCGTCGCATAGCACCTGAGGAAAGAGGATCCGAGGAAGCCGGGTTACACCAGGATGGTCGAATGTCAAGGATATCTAGAATCTGGCGTTCAGCGTTTTCGGAAAGTGAAACAGCAGAAAGCGATGCCATCGAGATCTTAGCTGCCGTAGTTGCACCGTTTATATTTGGTGTCCCGTCGGGACTTGCGCGTCAAGTTGATCAGCCTGTTCGGGTTGAGTGGTGGGATTCCGAATGGCAGGAAGGACACCTTTATGGACCGAGGTATTTGGAAGCATGAGGTAGGTTATGATTGTGAGTAACGGAATACCCTTTTCACAACGATTGAGTTCATCGATAAAAGGATACTCAACGGGAGTGGGAGGATTGTCGTCGCAATAAAGGTGGTAGTGAGGCGACACAAGCAAACCGTGATGATTGGATGCATATGAACCTATAAAAAACCGAGCATTCGAATATAGGGGATACGAAGACGCGTACCTCTTTCAAGGACGACAGCAGATAAACCGCTGAATATTATTCTGTATTCCGATGCTGGATCGCATGTAGATAGTTGAAGCCACGCCTATGGACATTCAGTTATAATATGAAAGTATGCATAAGGTGTCACCTTACTACATGTGGCCTTTGCTTTGCGCTGTTCTATGAGCAGTTCATATTCATGCTCCTTCTGCATCTCCTTCGCGGGATGAAACGAAATGTACAGCGGGGTATTATTTCCGTAATAACCTGGAATCATAAGTTGCAAAGAAAGTGACGAAATCTACCAGTGGCATGTCTACCTAGTATCGATCTCGCTGACGAGGGAAAATCCAGTGCAGACCTGGCGGTTTTTGTCGCTGCTGACTATTACAAAACGCGAGTTTCCCAATGATGGTCGCACATAGCGTATTCACTTTGGCGCACGTCTGTAAGTACACCTCTTCTGCTGCAAAGTTTTCCTTCGGTAGCTGCTCGAGATCAAACGGACAGAGTTCATCGTTCTCTATCCAGGACGCCGCCTTCTCTAGGTCTGAAGCAATTCTATGAGCAGTCGACATAACGAGCCAGAGACTACGAACCAATCTTATACGTGCGCCCTTCCTCGGTAAATAATGTGAAGTTGGAGATTTCGGGAAGAATGGGATCGATGGGGCAGCTAGCGAACGCGATGCCTATAATGCCACTGAAAAGGGCATGCTCCACTTTGTGTCCTGGATCAGACAGCCATTCGTCTTTGTCAGTCACTACGCAGCCCGGATAGCAGCAGGAACAAACTCATGACGTGTTGCGTGAGCTACGCCGTGGAGAATTGTGACGAGAGCGAGGAATGAGGAGCCAGGGGAATTGTGTTCGAGAGCGGCTGAAATACGCTTATCCACTCGAACGAGGGTAGGATCGAGGGCTATCATGAAGTGAGGTTTCTTGTCTACGGATACGACCTTGGGGAATGAGTTGGTTAAACATTTGGTGACATCACTGATAGTTGGAGCAAAACGTGGAGATGTGACTATAGGAAAAAAAATATCGACATTCCCAGAAGATGAAAGTGTGTTTTTCAGAGTAAGGGCCACCTCGGACCATTCAGATATGCGTCTTCAAGCGCCATGGCAGGAATGAAAGCAAGTTGAACTTGTTACATAAGTGAGTACGTCCTGTTTGTTTGGCTCCGCCCTGCTCGACGCACACCTGTCCACGTCAGGGACAAATTTCCTGTAGCTGATAATCGTTAGTTCTCCACATCATCTTTGTCTAGTTTGAGGGCTTCCCTTGTTCAACTACTATCTTCTATCATAGTCGACCGGACGGGGTTCAAAAGTACCTCTTCTCTCTCAACATCGTCTCTCATTCAAGATAGCCGCGCCAGACGGTTACTTTCGACTTTACAAAGAATTTCCCCGCCCAATTCCTTGTTGTGGCGTTCGTACAAACTGACTATAGCTGCAGCACAAATTTCTGAGCAAGTTGGTTCGAATTCCTGCAATTGTTGTTTCAGAATACCATTTTACGGCATGACAGGCCACAGCACACCTCCGCGAGATACGGACGTCGCGCTCAGGGACTTTGAGTACACTGAAGAAGACCTTCCTTCAGCGCGAAGAATGATCCGTCTCATACAACGCGGGCTGACCCGAAGTGCCGACTCGAACGTACTGAATCACTGTCTCCATCCTCAGGCAAGAGGTTTCCCTGGATGGCGAACAAGAACAAATGCTCGCGTTTTTTTCAAACTATTTCCCTGCGGTCTATCTGTCTATGGCTTTGACAACTAGAGTTTATGGCCAAGTCTTTTGTGGAGCTGGTTATGGTTCTATCATTTTCGTCAGCTACGATCTAGCTGTTGCTGCGAACCCTATCCAGGTTAATCGATGAAGAAAGCAATGCAGGAATAAAAGCAAGTTCAACTTATTATATAAGCTAGTATTAACCGCGGGCGGCCCGTCCTTAGCCAACTGTCCCAAGCCAAGTCCGTAGAAGCTCGGCTCATGCTTATCGAAATGGAGCGACGACCGGTTTGTGGTGAACCACTGGCGAAAGCATCTGCTCAGCACTCGCTTTCAGCGTGCGGTTCAAGTGAGCGACTGCGATCGGAGCCATTATACAAACTACCGTCTGTTTTCAGAATACCGAACGTTCGATTCATCGTGACGAATTCCAAGGATTGGGCGGTAGCCCACCTGCACAATCCTCCTGATGGCGGGACACCTGAGATCGTATCATGCCGCTATTTGATGAGCTTCTCTGGTCGAAATCCGTACAGATGACACTATGGAACTCTGCTGGACCGAGAGATAGAAATGTACTTTTGGAGAAGGCATGTGCGGGCCATCTATGCGATGTTGATGGAATGGATACGTTCTAATCACGCGCAATCATGTCAGTATTCATTTTTCCTTCTCTAATTGTTTCTAGAGAACATGTCGGCCACCCCGAGTCTGCCGTTGTTCGACGACTCGAACCAGGAGCACGGCCGCTGAAAACTTGATTTCCTTGAGTCACCCACACTGGATATTGGTGAAAAAGAAACCCAGAGATTTGGATGTGTGTTGGAAGTTAGACAGTAAGGCAAAATGAATAACAAAGGCCGCAGACATCAGCATCATTTAAATACGAGGAAGCAAAAATGGATATAAATACGACGACACTTTTTATTTAATGTCGATCACGCCCGAAAACGGCGACCTGTATAGCCACCACGTAAGAACCAACTGTGACAATGAGCGACCCGATAACTCAGTCCAATTACGATCAAGTCTACACCGAACATGTCTCGTTCATCTGGGCCATCGACTGGGAAGCAAAGACCGTCAGCGGGGAGGCAGTTCATGATCTCAAGGTAAAGGTCGATGGAGTAACAGAAGTAATGTGCGTATATCCTCTTCAGAATACTGAGAAATGTTGGAGTTCACATTCCAAAGCTTCGACACGGCAGATCTGGATATCAGTAAAGTCTCTGTGCAAGACAAACCAGTCACCGTGGGTCCACCAGCACGTCGGTCGAGCTGTCGTTGACCAACGGCGTAGTACGATGTCAAAGGGAAGCATTTCGTAATGGGCTCTGCTCTCCATGTTCCTCTTGGCAGTGGACTCAAGGCTGGATCAACCGTCAAGGTATCAGTGCTATACAAGACGACCAAGGATTGTATTGCGCTTCAATGGTTGGACAAGGAGTAAGCATTACTGCCCGTCAAGTCTCTTGTTACCCATTCTTTGTAGACAAACCAAGGGAAAAAAGTTTCCGTACCTCTTCAGTCAATGCCAGGCCATCTATATGCGAACTCTTGCGCCTGTCCAAGGTTCGTAGCTCATTTCGGTTCGGCAGCATTCTATGACCACAGTTCGCAGATACTCCGTCTGTCAAGATTGTAAGGATCACCTTCCTTTGCATCGTTACCTGACCGTTCCACCAGACATACACGGCCAAAGTTACGTCCGTTCTTCCAGTCCTTCTATCCGCCATCCGACAATCGCCACCCTCGGACGGCCCCGCTCATGGAGGAAAAATTGTAGGAAAGGATCTTGTCGAATACATCTACCACCAGGTACGACCTCTCGCTCTCTCTCTCTCGCCTGACTTTTGTTTGACCCAGCCCAGCCCGTCCCCATACCGTCCTATCTGATAGCCATTGCGTCCGGAAACGTCGTTTATCGACCCTTCCCCAAGTACGAAGACAGAAATTGGACTAGCGGTGTCTGGGCAGAGCCAGAGATGATTGACGCTGCTTATTGGGAGTTTTCTGAAGACACATGCAGATTTTTGAGGGCGGAAGAAGACATCGTCACCTCGTATAGATTCGGCGTATACGATCTCCTTGTCCTCCCGCCTTCCTTCCCTTACGGTGGCATGGCGAGTTCTCATTTGGTTGTTTCGTCTCATTCGTCTTAACCGGCTACTCGTAGGAAAATGCTTGCCTTACCTTTTTAACACCCAGTAAGACGCACTTTGGTATTTCCTCAGACAACGCTTAACCTGTGCAGCGCTGCTGACCGGCGACCGGACCCTTGTCGACGTCGTTGCTCATGAGCTCACCCATTCTTTCTTCGGTAATGGCGTGACGTACGTGCTCTCCGACATCTTCTTTTCATTTTTGACGCAAACTACAGTCACGCTCACGCAACCCACTTCTGGCTCAATGAAGGCTGGACGACCTACATGGAGCGCCTCCTTTTGCAGGTCATCCATTCCCCGGCCGACCGAGGGTTTTCCTTCCTTATTGGATACAAGAGTCTAGTCGATGATCTGGAATTGTATGCGGACCGACCCAAGTACCAGCGATTGGTCATCGAGTTTGAAAAGGGCGAAGACCCGGATGACGCATATAGCAAGGTTTGATGCTCCTCGCATTGTTAGGAACGGCATTTTGAGTTTCTTCTCTTCAGGTTCCTTATGAAAAGGGTGCCAATCTGATCCTTCACCTTGGTGTGGTCTAACATTTGGTCCCTTCATTCACGTATCTTATACATCTCACAGAACGGACTATTGGTGGCCTTGATGTTTTCCTTCCCTACGTCAGCGACTACGTCAACACATTCATGGGCAAGAGCATCACCACTGATGAATGGAAAGCACATCTGTATGCTTACTATGAGAAACACGGCAGTCCCGAGAAGATCAAAGCCCTGGATAGTATTGATTGGGATGTGTGTTATCTTCATTTTTCTTGCTGATTTCTCCTCTGATCGTCCCTATGGCATAGGCGTGGTTCTACGGCGAAGGCACAAGTCTGCCTGTGACCATGGAATATGACACTTCCTTGGCTACGAAAGCTTATTCCCTTGCTGAACGCTGGGATGCCTCACGGGCCACTGAAGTTTCCAAGCTCAGTTTCAAGTCCGATGATCTTAGTGGTTTCAACTCCAACCAGACAGGTGTGCCCTCTTCTTCGTAATGAAAAACAAAGCAATGAACAATGCTCAGCGGTATTCCTCGAGCGCCTCCAATCATATCTTCCCCTCCCCTCTGACCTCCTCACGCACCTTGGATCCCTCTACGGCCTCTCAACAACCCACAATGCCGAAATCCGCTCGAGGTTTTACCAGCTCGCTTTGATGGATGTGTCGTCTCCAGCTGCCCCCAGCTTTGCGGCTTCGGCGGCAAATTGGGTTATTGGAGAAGGGACGGGTGCAGTGGTGGGAAGGATGAAGTTCTGCCGAGATATCTTCCGAGCGGTGTTCAAGGTCGACAAGGATACAGCTTTGCAGGCGTTTGAGAAGGAGAAGATGTCGTTCCATCCTATTGCGAGAAAGATGATTGAGAAAGTTGGTGATTTGTTGTTGCTGCGTTTTATGATTGCTTATGGGTTTAATAGGATCTGGGTCTAGCTTGAAAAGGCTGCGATGTTTAATTGCTTCCGGCATGCAATCAACCTACTCCATTGTGTACATTCTTTGTTATTCCCTTGACATGACGTACATACTAGCAGATAGGATATCAGGATCCTCCAAGGGATGTCGCACATTATGAATTTTTTTGTGGAAAGAAAGACTGACGACCTAGGTGTCCGCACGGTTGTTCTTTGGGAACATGGAACAACACAGCCAAAGTGCTGCAAATACTATCATGGCGAGTGGTTTAACGATCACGTCCGTGTGCAGGAACGCATAATTTTTGATTGTATCCAATCGTATTCTGCGATCGACTGTCCTCCCCCTGCTGAAGAATTCATCTGCCAATCCGATCTGGGACTTGACTATTATCGAACGCATTCTTGGCTCTTTTCTCTCTCTCCTGGAATGTAAACAGTGTTTGGACGACCACCAACTTTCTCTTGATCTTGATATCATACTTCATGCACTTCAAAATCGCTTGCCTAGAATTAGCCTTGATGGTGAGCCCATCATAATGGCTTTCCATGCTCAACTGCTTAATGTCATTGGCATGGTTGTTGTGGCCTTGACCAGCACTGATGCTGAATCCATGGATGTTACTCTAACCACATCATATCTGATATTCTCACAGCTGGGGGACCAGAAATAATTGAATGAGTGAGCAAGACTATAGTGATAGAAGGGAAACAAACCTTGAGTCTTGTTTTGTCATGCAGCTGGTCTCTAAGATAAAAAACAATTACATTCAAATGTCAAGCAAGTTGATGGGAAGGTTATGGCAACTAGGTTCATATGTCCTCTTGTTGCTTGAACAAACATGTTCTTCAGATATGGCTTCATCTTGCATCATTCAGGCTGCCATCACATTTTGGATATTTTTTCAGCAGGATATCTGTTGTTATTGTCAAAAAAGACATGTTTCATTTATTCATCTATATTCTAGCATTCAATTTTCTTTTCAGTGTTACTCTAGGCATGTCATAATGCTCTATTAGGTTCTCTTCAGTATCACCTCTTTTAACATCACAATGACTCACTTCTCTTCTGATGACTACTTCAAGAACCCTTTTCAGAACACTGTTCTCTTCAAATCCAATGTCTTTGCTTACAGAGACATGAGGTTATTGACCATTCACTCTTATCTTAGTGCTATCATTGAGCACTATCCTCATAGTGTGGGTGAGGCAGTTGTCATGAAGATCAAGCACATAAAGTATTCTCATAGCAATTCAGAGCATGAATACATTCTTTGTTATATCAAAGACCAGTGCAATATCCCTGAAAGAGAGGCCATCATTTGGATTGAGCTCTTTTGCAAGATGGATACATCTCTAACTCAGTAAGTTCAATATCTACATGGTCCAGTCACTATCAGTTTCATGCAGTCCTTCTCTAGCCTTTCTGGTATTGTCTGTGATATCTTTACTATCAACTGCACTCTGGAAATTATACTGATCAAATGAAAGCTGGTTGGTATAATTTTTGGAGTGCAGTTAATAGTAAAGATATTGCAGGCAATACCAGAAAGACTAGAGGAGGACTGTGTGGATGTTGGTCTTTCTGAGTTGGAAGTGTACTTATCTCATAAAAGTGCTCAATCTAAATGACAGCCTCTCTTTCAGAGATATTGCATTGGTCTTTGACATAATAAAAAATGTACTTATGCTCTAAATTGCCACAGGAGTACTTCATGTGCTTAATCTTCATAATGACTGCCTCATCTACACTATGAGAACAGTGCTCAACAATGGGGCTGAAATAAGAGCAGGTGGTCAATGACCTCATGTCTCTGTGAGCAAGAACATTGGACTCAAAGAAAACAGTGTTCTGAGGAGGGTTCTTGGAGTAGTCATTGGAAGAGAAGTGAGTTATTATAGTGTAGTAAATGAAATGCAGAGTTTTCTGAAACTTTGAGAATATGGTTGCAAGTTTTTGGATTTAAATAAGCAGATGACAGTAGAAGTAGTAGGTCATATGCACTGGCTATAGCAATGTTTGAGTAGTGTATGTTGAAGATAGAAATGAGAATACAGCATAGCTCTCACACACAACACTGATCACCTTTCTTGGATTGGGCCAGACCTTCTTCTAGCTATTTGATGTAAAATGAATCAATACTCTTATCACTTATGAGGGGTGACAAGTCTGACATGGGTACACATACTAATAGTATAGGAGTGGGATGTGTGTTAGAAGTTAGACAGTAAAGCAAAATGAATAACAAACACTGGAATGAGCTGTCTGTATTAATACTAGCTTATATAATAAGTTGAACTTGCTTTTATTTCTTGCCATGGTGTTTGAAAATGCATATCTGAATGCTGCTCTGTCTGAAGTGGCTTTTACTCTGAAAAACACACTTTCATCTTCTGAAAATATTGTTATTTTTCTTCCTATAGTCACCTCTCTATATTTTGCTCCAACTATCAGTGATGTTACCAAATTTTCAACCAACTCATTCTCCAAGGTTGTATCTGTAGACAAGAGCCTCACTTCATGATAGTCCTTTATTCTACTTTTGTTTGAGTGAATAGATATATTTCAGCCACTCTTGAGCATAATTCTCTTGGCTCACTCTTGTCACAATTCTTCATGATATAGCTTATACAATGCATCATGAATTTGTTCCAGCTGCTATCTGAGGTGGCTGTATAGTGACTAACAAAGATGAATGGCTGTCCAATCTGAGATATAAAGTGGAGTATACTCTTTTTAGTAGCATTGTAGGTGTCACATTTGCTGGCTGTCCTACCAATCTCATTCTTTCTGAAATCTCCTACTTTACATTATTTACTGAGGAAGGATTTATATATAAGATTGGTTTGTAGTCTCTGACTTGTTATATCACCTGCTCATAGAATTGCTTCAGACCTAGAGAAGATAGCATCCTGAATAAAGAATAATGAACTTAGCCTATTTGATCTTGAGCAGCTACTGAAGGAAGACTTTGCAGCAGAAGAGGTGTATTTACAGATGTACATCAAAATGAATATGCTATGTGCATGTAACAAAAGTGAGACAAGTCACAGTTCTATCATATAAGGACTTCAGATAAGCAAAGGGTGACCAGATAAAAGAGACTTTGATTTGAAAAAAGTTGTCTATCTACTGTATCACAAAGGTTTATCTAGTACTTAAATAATTCAAATAGATAAGGAACAGATATAGAATAAGATCATAGAGATAAGGGTAAGCATAGTGAGAAACAGTAATCTACTTAGTTGAATAATATTGGTATAGTAATGTAAGAGATCAAGAGAGTAGGGTTTGATATATGTTGAGGTGTTACATATGCTCTCTGGCACTTTGCCTGACAGGTGCCAATCAAATAGGAACATAGTTAGTGTTGGTGTCAATATTCTTGTCAAAATTAAATAAATCTTCCACATCTAAGCCTATCTCTGGCAATGCAATGAACTCTTTTATGTTGACATCTTTCACAGGTTGTGAGTATTAGGCTCAAACTCCACATGACTGATAACACATGATAGACTAACAGAACCTCACACTTCAGATTATACTGTTAGAATTCACTGATGTGATATCAGCTTGTGTGATCAAGGCACTTTATGAATGGCTCGAGATAGGATGGTGAAGAATAAACTTTAGTTTGAGACTGGGGTATTACAGCAAGAACTAAACTATTTAAATACTGTTCTGTTATCTGGTTATTAATAACTGTTCACAAAAGATATTGTCTGCCATAGAGCTGTTGCCTCTGCTGTTGCCAGACTCTCCACAAAAGCTGTTGTCTTGCTGTTGTGCTGTTACTGCTGCACTGCAGTTGGAGGACAAAAGGAGCATTGTCTCTCTCTTCACAGCACACAGCATCGTGACAGGAGAGTGACTGACTGGTGCTGAGCTAAGCATTCCCATAGTCCTAAGCACTGGCCTAAGCACCCTGATTAAGCAAAGATAGGAGTCATTTCCAAGGGAAAAAGAAAAGAAAATAGAAAAAATCATAACATTACCCCCTCCTTAAGACCATTGTCCTGATGGTTAAGTTAGGATAAATCTGCCAGTCTCGGTGTGAGTTGATTGATCTCCATACTATATGTGGCAGGTTGGTTGATATATATCTGGCTAGATATATTCTCTCTTTCTGTTGTCACCACCAGGTCAGCCTCTCTATCCTCCCTAGCTTGGCTGTTATTGGTTGCAGGTGGTCGATCTGCTGGACCCATCGTTGTACTCTGTATTGCAGATATAATATTGAACATGATCCTTTCTACTTCCAATTTGTTGATTCTGTGTTTGTAATCTTGTATGGCCTCCTCCACGTTCATATATTTTTCATTGACCTATTGGTTCAATTCTGGTCCATAACCTTTCCAACTGACTAAGTAGTCAATGGTTGTTTTTATGCCTCTGCCTCATACTTTAACTTTTTGGGTTTTGTGGTTTAGCACTTCATCAATTTCATAGTGTTCTTTATCATCAATGAGTTCTGGTGGCAGTGGAGGTGGTTGTTCTTAGTTTGGGAAGGCTGGTGCCACATATAGTGTCAGTAATGTTTCATTAAAAACATTATGAATTTTCCAAGTTGTGGGGATCTGCAACCTATATGTGGAGTTTCCAATTTTGTGTAAGACTTTGAATGGTCCTGTTCATTTGTCTGCAAGTTTCTGTTTAGACCTTAGTAGGTGTAGATTTGTTATATCCAACCAAACTTTGTCATTGGTTGAATATTCATGTGCTGGCCAGCAATGTTTATTATACTGCTTCTTCATTGTTAAGGCAGCTCTTTCAAGAGCTGTCTTGGTTTTCTCATGGATTTTTGCCATTGTTGTTGCAAAATCCTTTGATGCTGGTGTCATTGTATGAGCCCATCCTGTTTCTGCAACCAGTGGATTCCACCTGTAGTTCACAAAGAATGGGGTTTTGCCCATTGCTGAGTGAATTCTGTTGTTGTGTTGGAATGCTGCTAATGCTAGCCATTCCATCCAATCATCCTGTCGATAGCTGATGAAAAGTCTGAGGTACTTTTCAATTTCTTGGTTGGCTCATTCTGTTTGGCCATCCATCTGTGGATGGTATGCCATTGAGACATTCTGTTTGATGTTAAGGAGTCAGTACAGATTGTCTAGAAATTTGGAGATGAACTGTGATTCTCTGTCTGAAATCACTACTTGAGACATGCCGTATTTTGCATAGAC